CATAAAACAATTAGAATTCAATTAAGAACTGACCTGTGTTGGGGCCTCCCCGGTGGCGCAGCGGTTGAGCGCTGGGTTGCGAAGCTGCCCGCAGCCTCTGCAGCGCCAGTTCGATCTCTGGCTGCTCCCCGGCCACCGGAGGAGGGTCCCACATGGCGCACAGACCTCTCCTGCCGCCCGCTGCTCCCCTCAGCAGTGTGTTTCGGCCCTTCTGCCTGCTCTGCTCCCTGCTCTGGCTCTGGTGAATTCTCTCACCCTCCCGCGCTTCTGACTGTACCCAGTGCTTGTATAAACAAACAAACAAATAAATAAATAAATGAAAATACATGCCTCTTTAAAAAGAAAAAAAAAAAATCTTAAAAAAAAAAAAAGAACTGACCTGTGTTAATGGAGTATTATTCAACAATCAAAAAAGATAAACTCATGCCATGCGCAGCAACATGGATGGAACTAGAAGCAATTATGTTCAGTGAAATAAGCCAGAAGGAAAAAGAAAAATATTGGATGGTTTCACTTATAGCAGGAACATAGGGGAACCCAATAAAACATCAGTGTAAAAAAATAATGACAGAACAAAACACAACAAAGCAAAAACGGACAATTATAAATCAGAGACCTACTTCAGGGGAGGAGGAGGGAGAGGGATCAGAGGGAAGAAGGGAGGGAAGGAGGAGCACAGGGAACTGAGGTGATGGTGCACGGGTGCATTGGTGAAGGAAACTCTATGGGGACTACACCTGAGGTGGGGGGTAAGCAAATATTGTTTCAAAATGAACAATGATGTAAAAAATAAAAAAAAAATTAATATTAAAAAAATAAAAAGTCATATTTTTGGTAGTCAGAGTACAATGTCTGGAAAACACTTTAAAAATATATTTTAAAACACTTTAAAAATATAAGAAAACAACACTCAAATGAACTTTTAAGATGGTACCTTTCCAGTCTGTCAAAGGCCACAACAATGAAGGATCTTAATTACATCTATATATAGCAACTATTAAATTCAAGGAAAAAGAAAACAAATAAAAAATCAAGTCATTAAAACACCATGGCCATAACATGTAACACCAGATTTGTTCTCCAAAGTTCAAGCTACAAATAACAAGTTGCAGTCTATCCCCAGGGTAAAGTGTTGAATCCTTCTCTTGATATTTAATCATAACATTAAGTAATTTACTTATTCAAGTTAGTTTGGGGGCATAATTTTTGTGAGTGTGCAAGTCACATAAAGGAATCCATAAAAGGTTAAAACACCTTTGAAGAGACTGAGGAGACTGACTTAAATTTCAGATCAGGGCCTCCCCGGTGGCACAGCGGTTGAACGCTGGGTTGCAAGCTGCCCGCAGCCTCTGCAGCGCCAGTTCGATCCCCGACTGCTCCCCAGCCACCAGAGAAGGGTCCCACATGGCGCGCAGACCTCTCCTGCTGCCCGCTGCTCCCCTCAGCAGTGTACTTCAGTTCTTCTGGCTGTTCTGCTCCCCGCTCTGGCTCTGGTTAATTCTCTCACCCTCCCGTGCTTCTGACTGTACCCAGTGCTTGTATAAATAAATAAATAAAGCTGGATAAATAAAATTACTAAATAATTAGTAAATAAAATAAAATTTTATTTTATTAAATAAAATTACTAAAAAGAACATATTAAAAAAAAGTCATAAATTTCAGATCAGAATATTATGGTAGCAGATGTAAATGTGAAATATACATATACTGAAAAAAAATATGATTTCATAGCTTAAGAGGTATTCAGTGAATGCTATAAATTCAAACTCTTAAGCATTTTTTTAAAGTTTTTTTTAAGATTTTATTTATTTTTGTGTAGAAGAACTGGGGTGCAGACCAGATGTTGGGGGGGGAGTGAGAGGATTCGCCAGAGACAGGAGAGTAGGCAGATCTACTGAAATGCACTGCTAAGGGGAGAAGCAGGCAAGACAGGAGAGGTCTGCTGCACCATATGGATCAGCTCCCTGCCTAGAGATCGAACTCAGGCCACTGAAGTGGGCTTTAGAGGTGGTAGCACTGAGACTTAAAGCCTAGGCCACCAGGGAGGCTCCTTGTTTAGCATTCTGTTTCAGTTGTCTCCATAGTTCTCATAGAGCTGTATGACGATTTATTTTAAACCCCATTTTGAAGGGAAAAGAGCTAAAATGTACAGTCTATGTAATATTTGTCCATGTATGTTTTGCCAGTTTTAAGTTCATAATCCAAGTAGTGTGACTATGCCCTGCTTTGCCACATAACTCACTGTTATGCATTTTTTAATCAAGAAAAGGTCCTATTTGACAAAAAAAAAAAAAAGAACAAAAAAAAGAACTGATCTGTGTTGGGCCTCCCTGGTGGCGCAGTACATTGAGCGCAGCGCTTTAAGGCTGTCCACAGCCTCTGTGGCATGGGTTCAATTCCCGGCCGGCCAGGGAGAAACCCACATGGCGTGGCAGTCCTCTCCTACCTTGCCCGCTGCACCTCTCAGCAGTGTCTTCGGTCTGTCTGCCTGTTCTGCTACCCGCTCTGCCTCTGGTGATTCTCTCACCCTCCCGCGCCTCTGACCTGTACCCCAGTTCTTCTATAAATAAATAAAAATCTAAAAAAAAAAAAAACTGCAACTGATATTAAAAATTATTTTAAAAAGAACTGACCTGTGTTATTCAAAGCAAATAGCTTTTCATCCACTGAGAATTCATATCACTCAATACCTATCAACATCTGCTCTTTTCTCCCCTAATTCAGAAGATAGAGTAGCTAAATTCTGTAGTTGCACTTCCTATTAAAGGCCCAGTCATGCAGTACTGTAAATTTCTCTTTACCTTTCTTTCTACCCCACTGTTCCATAATTTCTCACACCTAGTATCTGGAACTAGGTAGTCATTCAAATGTTTGTTAAATGAATCGGAAACTAAACCAAGCATTGAGCAGAAGCATCAGTGTCCTTAGCTCTCTCTTTGGCAAATTCCAGGTTTTTAAGGTTAAAGGTTTTAATATGACCTTTGCTCTAACCTTGGACCTTTAGGATGACTGGTATTAAAGACTAAGTGTTAAAATGCAAAGACTCAGAGAAACAGCAAATCCTAAAATGGATGTAGAAAAAAAGAAGATTCTAGCATAATACCAGATAGAGAAAATGTGTTCACTAAATGTCTGACAGTGACTGAGCAAAGGAGAGTTGAGGAAAGATAGTGAGCTTAAAAAGAGACCAATCTCATTTGGCAAATATGACAGATGGGATTTTATCTGAAGTCCTCACTCTTTGAAACCTAACTAAATCTATTTCCTAATGGCTACTATGTCCATTTCTATGGATTAATTCTCCAGCATAACCCCCTCTTCACTACCCACAACCTCCCTTTACCTACCTACCTCTTCTACACACAGCCTTATGTAAATCTAAGGAAGTATCTTTCTCAGACACCACCTCCCACTCCCAGAACTAGTCAGAGCTCTGGTATCAGTATTGCCTCCCAAACTTGACTGAATACTCATTACCTAGAAATCTTGTTAAAATGAACTTTGATTCATCACATTTGGATGAGGCCAGAAAGTCCACATTTTTAATAAGTTCGCAGGTGCTTGATGCTATTCTGCTGGTCAACAGAGCAAACTTTGTTGAGAAGCAAGACCTTGGAACTCTGCAGAGAATACACACTAAGCCTTAAACTCAGTTAAAATACCACCGGCTCCCACATTTCCTACTTGTATAAACAACCTTAGACAAAGTCTCTCTACCCCTTTGAGCCGTCGTTTGTCACCAGTGGAATAAGCTAACATTGATTGTTGACTGTGTACTAGGAACTAATGTTTCATATTTATCAGTTTATGAATAGGACTTGAGTTAACCTGTCCAAGGTAGGTAGAGTAAATCAAGATCTAATTTGAGATAATTTGACGCAAACTGGTTCTTAATCACTTTATAAGACTGTCTCTTCTATTTCGCTCTCAGAACCATTATGACAATTAAATAATAATTGCCTTAGTTAACATTTACCGAGCACTCATGTTCCAGACCCTAATCTGAGCCTCCCAGGGGTATATTAACTCATCTATCTTTATTACCGCCCAGAAGGTATGTACTGTACGTACACTCACCTTACAGGTTTTTAAGCAGGCCCCAACAGAGGGGCTTAGCTCAAACAGGGGCTTAGTGAGGAATGGCCCAGGGGCACTTTAACTGCAGCGTCAGCACACTACCTTTTTTTATTTTTATACAAGAGCTGCGGTACAGGCCAGAGGTGTGGGGGTGAGAGGATTCTACAGCGACAGAGTGGGGAGCAGAACCGGCAGACTGACTGAAATACACTGCTGAGGGGAGCAGTGGTTGAGACAGGAGAGGTCTGCGGCGCCACGTGGGATTCTCGCTGGCCGGCCGGGATCGAACCCACGCAGCAGAGGCTGCAGACAGCTTCACCCACTGCGCCACCGGGGAGCCCAGAGTCAGCACTCCGATCTCAAACCGCCAGGAGGTCGCGGAGCTCTGGGCGGCGGCCCTCGGCTCGCTGGGGTGTGCGCACCCCGCGCCCACTCCGAGACGTCTTATTGCTAGTATCGGGGCTGCCCTATAACAGTTCGACGAACTCCCCAAGTAAACCAAGTCTTCTCCTACACGCAGCTTTATGTAAATGCGGGAAATGTCTTTCTCAGAGCCCGTCCCTCCATCCTCCCCGAGCTCTGGTGAAAAATAACTTGTCTAGTCCCACGACCTAAGGCCGCGCCGACAACATCTTAACAGAATAGTTACAATGGCACTGTTAACACAGTCGCTCCTGCAGCCCCCAATCTGCGGCCCCAGGAATCTGCGCTGCCCACCCGGACCCCGCATCCTGGGAAACACCAACTCAATTAGGCCCGGGATTTGTGGTCTGGGTTCCTCGCACCAGCTCCGCCTACATCCGGGCACCCCTATAAAGAGCTGCCTCGAATCCCATCCGCTCTCCAACACCGCCCTCTGCCGGCCGTGTCGCGCGTCGCCCTGTTGTGAGCTAGTTCCGGGTGCCCCGGAAGTGAAGCTTTCGCTTCCGGATCCAGCGTCTGGGCGGTGCACGTGGTTGTGCTGCCGGGGCCGGAGCCGGCGCTGGTTGAGAAGTAGTGAACGGAGCCGAAGCGATGGAGGGTCACAGCGTGGAGGACCTGCTGGCAAAGGCGGAGCGGGACGAGGCAGAGAAGCTGCAGCGCATCACGGTGCACAAGGAGCTGGAGCTGGAGTTCGACTTGGGTAACCTCCTGGCCTCGGACCGGAACCCCCCGACTGAGCTGCGGCGCGCGGGACCCGCTCCGGAGGCCGAGCTGCGAGCTTTGGCGCGGGACAACACGCAGCTGCTCATCAACCAGCTGTGGCAGCTGCCCACGGAACGTGTGGAGGAGGCGGTGGTGGCGCAGCTGCCGGAGCCCACCACTCGCCTGCCGCGCGAGAAACCGGTGCCCAAGCCGCGGCCGCTTACACGCTGGCAACAGTTCGCGCGCCTCAAGGGCATCCGACCCAAGAAGAAAACCAATCTGGTGTGGGACGAGGTGAGCGGCCAGTGGCGGCGCCGCTGGGGGTACCAGCGCGCCCGCGACAACACCAAGGAATGGTTGATCGAGGTGCCCGACCGTGCCGACCCCTTGGAGGACCAGTTCGCCAAGCGCATTCAGGCTAAGAAGGAACGAGTGGCCAAGAACGAGCTGAACCGGCTTCGTAACCTCGCCCGTGCGCACAAGATGCAGCTGCCCAGTTCGGCAGGCATGCACCCCACCGGACACCAGAGTAAGGAGGAGCTCGGCCGCGCCATGCAGGTAGCTAAGGTCTCCACGGCCTCCGTAGGGCGCTTCCAAGAGCGCCTGCCCAAGGAAAAGGCACCCCGCGGCTCCGGCAAGAAGAGGAAGTTTCAGCCTCTTTTTGGGGACTTTGCAGCCGAGAAGAAGAGCCAGTTAGAGTTGCTGCGAGTCATGAACAGCAAAAAGCCTCAGATGGACGTGACGAGGGCCACCAATAAACAAATGAGGGAGGAGGATCAGGAGGAGGCAGCCAAGAGGAGGAAAATGATCCAGAAGGGCAAGAGAAAGGGGGGGAGGCAGCAGGGTCCTGGGGGCAAGAGAAGAGGAGGAGGTCCTCCCAGCCAGGGAGGGAAGAGGAAAGTGGGCTTGGGAGGCAAGATGAATTCGGGACCACCTGGCTTGGGTGGCAAAAGGAAAGGAGGGCAACACCAGGGAGGAAAGAGGAGAAAGTAAATTTCACCCTGGAATTGGCCTGTAAACCTGGGACTATATACTAAATGTTAATTTATAGGGTTGGGGGAGAGAGCTGCTGAAGGGAGTTGGCTGCCTTTGTTGAAGGTCGAGGGACTCAGGAATCCCCTCCCCTCAAGATATATTGTAGATGTTGGACTCTACACATTAATGTTTCCTCCACAACCATCTTTTTTTTTTTTTTTTTTTTTTTTACTTTGGATGTGGGATGAGGGATATGGTCATATTTCAGAGGTGCAGACAGATTTATACATTTCTACGTTTTTATAACAATTGTGTATTATCAAGGCAGAGAGAGTAAGGGAAGATTACATTTTCAGAACTGGACTTACAAATAACTGTTGTAAAGGTTATTTAATAAAAGTGTACCTATCTAATATTGCTTTATACTTTTTGGCTGTTGGTAGAAATCTTAAGTGATTTGGCTACAGGGTACAGGTTTTGTTTACTTTCTTAAAAAGCAACTATAAGTTATGCCTTCAGCAAGACCACTTTTAGGAAGACTCACACTTCTTTTGATATCAGATATAATATTGAAAGTAGTACAACTGGTGTCTTTTGAAAAAAATATTTCATACTTCCAACATTGAAAACATTGATTTGCTGTAAATGATAAAATTTGGGCCTTACCAAATAATGGCAGTCTTCATTAATCTAGAAAATAAATCTTTTCAATATTTATGTCCCCAGTTTTTTGCTTTTTTGCCCCAGTTTTTTTTTTTTTTAACCTCAAGTAGGATATTTAAGGATGAGAGAAAGAATCCCACAAAATCTTTAATTGGAATGTTACTATCTCTTGATTCATTTGGCAGATTGACCTGAGTTGGTTTGAGTAAAGTGAAATGTTTATAGCCACCCTGAGTTTCTTCCCTAACTGATCTCAGTAACTCATCTCTAAAAATACATCCTGAAAAGAATTCATATTGGTGCAGAAAGAGGGTTCCAGCAAATGGCTTTATGTTGCTATTATAGAGTTGACAGCCACTTTTGTTTTTTGGTCTGACAATTGAGAGGAAGTTTAAATTGGGGATTCATTTTTATTTCATTTTTCACTTGTCATTTACATAAGATGGTTAGAAATTGCTATGAAAAGAATTCATATTTCCTAAGTTACTAAAAGCATAGGTGTTCAGTTGTTATTCTCTTTGCACACTTCCTGATAAAGTTGAGTTTTGCTATTATTGATCAATGTTTCCACTCAGCAATGGCATATTTGGTAGTTAGGCCCTCCCAGAGGACAGTGTAACCATGGAAAGTTTTCAACTATTCATGAAATCATTTCATGGTATCCTGAACAATTTCATCAAAAACCAAGACATTCACAGATCATTTTTTTTTTTTTAAAGATTTTTTTTCACATTTTTTTTTTTATTTATAGAGGCATGTTTTTATTTATTTATTTGTTTGTTTGTTTTGTTTATACATGCACTGGGTACAGTCAGAAGCGCGGGAGGGCGAGAGAATTCACCAGAGCCAGAGCGGGGAGCAGAGCAGGCAGAAGGACCGAAGTACACTGCTGAGGGGAGCAGCGGGCGGCAGGAGAGGTCTGCGCGCCATGTGGGACCCTCCTCCGGTGGCCGGGGAGCAGCTGGGGATCGAACCGCTGCGCCGCAGAGGTCGCCGGCAGCTTCGCAACCCAGCGCTCAACCGCTGCGCCACCGGGGAGGCCTCTTCACAGATCATTTTAAAACCATTTAAATTCTCGACTTGGGAGGGAAGGTTTACAGTTTTGTTTTTAGGCCATTGATTTAGCAATTGGACTTAACACTGTCCATATTAAGAAAAAATGCAGGATATTTGCAAGATTCTTGTTTACTGTTAAAACTTATGCAGTGTTTCAATGATTTGTTCTGAAAATACTCAAGGCAAAACAGTTTGTGACAAAGGTGGATCTGACGGGATTATGCTAAGTCATTCAGAAAAAGAAAGACAAACACCATGATTTCACACATGAACTATAAAGGGGTGGGGGGTGCAAAAGAACAAAACTAAAACGAAAACCTTAGGCTGACAATAGAGTGGTGGTGACCAGTCCGGGGAGAAGAAGGGGCCTCTAGAGGGATCCATCGTTGCAGGGTGACCGGACTTTTGTAGGTGGGTGTTTTGTGGTACATACATTTGCTGAGGTGAGAATTTGTACACCTGAAACCTGAAACCTGACGTGAAGTAGAGGAAATAAGTCTAGAGTTAAAAGACCCAACGGAGCAATTACCTTTAGGCAACTTGCAAAGTGCTTGGTGAGACTGCTGGGCGGTGATGGCTTTGACTCGGGCAAAAGTCCCTCGCCTCCCCAGGCTCGCGCCGGTGAGGGAAACCCTAGGACGCGACCGGGCCCCGTAGGATGGGCGGGGCGGGGGTGGCGGCGGGGATTGGCCGGCGGGGATTGGCCGGCGGAGGGGGCGTGGCCGAGAGGAGGACTCTGCAGCCATGGCCGCCGCCGTCCGCGCCCGAGTCGCGCACTTGCTGAGGCAACTGCAGCGCGCATCGTGAGTGCGGGGCCCGGCGGGCGGGCGGGAGCCCGGAGGGTGCCACCGTCTCCACGCAGTCCCCACTGCGTTCCTCCCGTTACTTGCACGAACTTGTGTTAGGAGATACCGCAGTGCGCGCCGCTATGTACCGGGCCGCGCGCCTGGCCGGGCCGTGTTGTGGAGCGTGCGGTGCCCCCGGGCTCCGCGCAGCGAGCAGGTGTTACTCTGTCCCACCGTTTAGTAAACTAAGGCCCAGAGAGGGCAGCCCCTGCCCCACGTCGTGCATGCAGTGGAGGGCTTGGTACAATGACCAAGACAAATTCATGAATCCAGTCAACTCACATGTGCTGGGAATACAAAGATGAAATCCTCTGGAGCACTTTAACGCCTGGTGGGGAATCGAATGAGGGGATGGGTTTAAATGAGCCTTCTGAGGGTGTAAAACTAAAAGATGGACGTGAGAAATCGCCAGGAGCTTCACTCTGAGATCTGCAGGGAGTAAGGATATTAAATGTTATGACATGTCTGACTCCCCCTTCGGAAATGCCGGGCATGTAACAACTGCCTGCGAGACTCTTCTTAAGTGTGCATGTGCACAAGTCAGCCTGGGAAAACAGGTGGAGATTAGTAGGGAGAAAAGAGAGGGACTAGAGAGGAATTTCAGAAAAAGGGAAGAGCTGCCCCAAAAGCAAGAGATGTAATTTCACAATCTGAAAGTCTGGGCCTAGCTTCATAGATGGGGGTGAAGATGGAGAAGACAATGAAAGATCACCAATAGTGATGCCTGTGGTATGAAAACATACACCTGAAAGTATGATCCTGTACCTCTGAATCACATACAATGTTGTAAATCAATGTTACTTCAATAAAAGGAAAATTATTAATCAGTGGAAACATTAAGATCAGTGGATTGTATCAATGTCAATATCCTTGTGATATTTTACTATAATTTTGAATAATGGTGTTATTGAAAGAAACTGGTTTAGGAGTATATGTGATCTGTCTGTATTATTTTGTGCAATGGCCCAAAATAAAATTTTTTAAAATAAACATAATGTAAAAAACCAGACAGCCGGTAAGAAAATAATTAACACTTATTGGGTACTTCCATGTACCCCGGCACTGTCCCTACACACTTTACATATACTATTATTAGTAACTCTAATCCTTCTATCAAGCCGATGCTATGCTGTATTATAATCCTCATATTACAAATAAGGTCTAGGGGAAAATAATTTGTCACACTAAGTAAATGTATACAGCCATAATTTGAACCCAGATATTCTGACTTCATAGTTCTATTCTTAGTCCTATGCTAAAGTATATTAATTGTATTGTGTAAATAATGGAAAGTTATTGAAGCAATAGTTCTCACGGTGAAAAAAACACCTTGAGACGCCCCCCCCCCAAAAAAAAAAGAAAAGTTTGAGAAACTGCTCACTGCTATGTGACTCTTGGAGAGAGGATGTACATTAGAACGTGAAGGATCCTGAGAAGTCCTGCAGGTGGACAAAGCTTAGCTATATTTAAACTCTTTGCTCTAAACCTGTGCATTGTAGAACTCTTTATCAAGCAACACCATTCATGGAACCAGTGTCACACAGAACAAGTTTTTGGAATGGTTGCATGACAAGGAAGTGCGGCATGATTTTAATCTTACTAGAATTTTCCAGTGGAAGTGGAGGGGAAATACTATTAGTAGTTCTCCATCTGAAAATTGATGGTTTCAGGCTTCTAGGAGAGGCCACCTGTACAAAGGGTAAAAATAGGAGATACTAAGGAGTTGGTTGGAATCGGCAGGATTTCATATCTGATTAGTGAGACAGAAGCTGAGGGTTTTTTGCTAGGGTTGTCAAGTAAACAGTTGGACCATTTACCAAGATAGCAAGTGTAGGGGGGTTAGCTTTAGATGATAACTTCAGTCTAGGTTATTTTGAGATATACATGATTCAGGTACACCCAGATGGAGACCAAACACTGCCCCCACCCAAAAAACAGGTAATTGAATTTATTATTCTGAAACTCAGAAGTGAATTTGGGACTCACCCAAGTGTATAGAAGGTCTTTGCTATCATGAGTGTGGAAACAGGCCTTGGCAAGCTGTAAACCTAGAAACAAGGGTGAAAATGAAGTCCTGGGGAACCACAGAATTACAGCAGGAGTAGCAATGGTGCTTTCTTAGTTCTGCACATGTTTACTTTTTCATTAGGTAAGCATTTCAAAAGCAGGAAGATTTCAGATAAAAACCTTAAAAACTGGTAAATGTCATCATGGAACCCAAGTTCTGTCCGGGGAAAGTCTGCCAAGGCTGAGGTCCAGTAGCGGCATCTACCTCCTTTGGACAGGGCAAGCCCTCCTGCTTCCTGAGAGTGCAGTTTCCCATTCACTACACAGCAGCTCTGGTCTCTCATTTACATTACCTGGTGATTTCCTTGAGCATCTGGATTTGCAAATAATTTGCACTTTGAATGGAGGAAAAGAAACCTGCAGTAGAGGATAGGCAATGAGGCCAAAGGTAGGGAAAAACCCAGGAGGGAAGGACTGCACTTTCACCGTAGATTTGAAATGTTCACTAGGAGACAAAATAGTCTAATATCTCTAGCACCTAAGTGTTTGGGGGGAGCAAACAGGACAGGCACTAAACTACTAAGGAAAATTTAGACTACATTAGATGTTGATAGGTAATAAAAAGAAAGTAAAGAATTTGAAGGCAGGGGTGCAATTTTAGAGAAGATCGTTGGAGGAGACCTCACTATGCTGATCCTATTGCTGCTATAACAAATGACCACAGACTTGGTGGCTTAAAACAATACATATTTACTCATTTATAGTTCTGGAATTCCAAAGTCCAAAATCAAGGTGTGATTTTAGAGCCTAGAGCCTTCCAGAGGCTCTAGGGGAGAGATCATTTTCCAGCTTCTGTGGCTACTCTCCTTGCATTCTGTGACCTGGAGCCCTGCTCTATCAGCAACATGGCATCTGGCTTCAGTGACCACAATGCCTTCTATGTCACATTTCCCTACCTCCTTAAATGGATGCTTATGATTATATTTAGCCCTTCCATCCAAGATAATCCAGGAAAATCTCTCCATCTCAACATCCTTAAGATCACATCTGCAGAGTCCCTCTTGCCACGTACACTAATGTTCAAAGGTTCCAGGACTTCAGACCTGAATATCTGCAAGGCTTAGTCAACCACACTGACTGAGAAGGTAACCATTTGGGGAAGACCAGTGGAGGGAAGGAGTGAACCACCTGGCCCTCTGGGAAGAGATCTGAGGGTGGAACATGCTTGGCATGGCTTCAGAACACAGTGACTATAGCAGCGTGAGCAAGAGGGAGATGAGGTCAGAGACACCGGGAGCCAGGTAGGGACAGCCAAGATGACCCCAAGGTTTCTTAGCATAAACAACTGAGAGAATAAATTTGCCATTAAACTGGGATAAGGAAGAAGCTTTGAGAGGAGCCCAGGAGCTGAATTTTAGTGGGAAAATATGAGATGCCTAATAGACATTCAAGCAGTAGACTGTTGAGTCTGGAGTTCAGGAAAGAGGACGAAACCAGAAAGATTAATGTGGAAGTCATCAGCATAGGAGATATTTAAGCTCGTAAGCCAAGAGAGGACACTCAGAGTGAGTTTGGAGAGAAAAGAGAAGGGTTCGTAGACCAAACTTGAGTACACCTGCACCCAGTATCAAGAGAATGAAAAGAAACTATGCCAGGAATGGCCAGTGCAATTAGAAAGAACGTCTGAATGTGGTGTCCTGAAAGTCAAGGAAAAAAAGTTTCCAGGGGAGAAGGATGGCACTGACAGGTCAGGCAAGAAGAGGATTAAAATGAGTGGTGTATTTGCACAGTGGAGGGCCTTAGTGACCTGGTGAGATTGTCCGTGGCCCACTGGAGGAGGTTCAGAAAGAACATAGGAAGAGAAATTGAAGAGAGCAGGTTTAGTCAGCTGAAGGGAGGGAGAGAGGCAGACGTGTTGGCAAAATGAGGGAACAGGGACAGGGAAGGTTGTTTGGTTAGTTGTTTTTTGATATAAAGTGGGAAAATAACATTTTCATGCTAATGTAAGATGTAATAGGGAAATTTTGATTAAGAGGGAAAAAACTATTGTCCTTGAGAAGATGAGCAGGGGTGAAATTTAGAGCACAGAGAAAGGGGCCTTAGCCCCTTAGCCTTTGCTAAGGAAGGGCCTGGCCAACTTATCAGTGATACCAGGAGTGAAGCCTAGATAATTGAACCAGAGCCTGATGGTGGGTCAATGAAGACCTCGTTCTAACCGTGATTTATTCTGCTGAAGCTCATCAGTGGTTTCAGGTCATCACATGAAGTTGGTGGAGCCCCAACCTGTTCTCCCTAGTCCAGGTCAGACTCCTTGTCTTTGGCACACCAGGAAAAGAGAGAACAAGGTCAGGGGATTTCAAATGTCTACATTCATTTATGTATTCATTTACATATTCATTTAATCAGTATTTAGAGCTTAATATGTGTCTGGCATTATATTACCCAAGGCTAGCAAACTTGTGAGAAGAGGCAGATCTTACCTTGCTATCACAAAATGTACAATCCAGAGGCAGATGGAAACAGGAAAATGGCATCAACTATACAGTGTGATAACAGCTTCATTGGGGAGGGAGGCATGGTATTCCCTGGTGCCTGCCCCAGGGAAGGCTACCCAGGGGAAATGATGTCTAAGCTAGCACTGGAAGAGACATCAGTCTATTCAGAATGTATATTCTAGACAGAAGGGAAAAACAAGAACATAGTTCTGGAGTCAAGATGGAGAAAGAACATGTGGGGCCCATGCAAGGAAAGAAATGAAGATAATGTTCTAGGAGCCCTACAGATGAAATAAGATGAGAAGTCGGAGTGGCTTGATTAGGAGAGCCTGTGAGGCAATGGCCAGGTCTGAACTTTATCCTATGGGCCATGGAGAAACATCGAAGTACCTTCAAACAAGGGAGTGAATATGGATGGAAATGACTCTGACCACAGTGTGGGGGACAGATACAGCAAAGGTAGAGCCAAGAAAAGTCTCTTAGGAATACAATAGTAATCCAGTGAGAGATGACCCCTTACCAGAGAGTAGTAGAGGTCCAAGCAAAGTGGAGAAATATTTGGGGCCTTGATATGTGGTTGGTTGTAAAGGACAAGGAGGGTCAGAATGGCTGAAAGCAACCCAAAATATGAAGGACACAATGCAACATTTCAGGGATGGTCTGAGTGAAAAAGGAGCTGGCAAAAAAAAACATCAGAGAAAATCCAGGTGATCTGGGAGCCCAAGAATGCAGGGAGGTGCTGCCTCAGGGTGTTTAGTGCTGTGAGGACAAGATGCAAGGAGGTCTGAGAAGTGAAGATACACAAAGAAAGTTGAAACTTGTGGAGGCAGTAGCCAGATTTCAGGACACCAAGGAATGTATGGGAGGCAAGGAAATGGAGCCAGGAAATGACTTCGAGGGGGAAGGAGCAGAAGATGAGCAAGAAAGGGGACAAGAGATTGAGAGTTTCAAGAATGAACCTCTTAAATATAATCATGGATCCAATAAGGGGTAAGACTAAGTACAAGACAAATGGAGTCCCCGTGAAGATAAAAAGTGGGGATTCAAACCACAGTTAAGGCAGAACAGAAATCATGAATTGAGGTAGCCTCAGAACTAGAAAAATACAAAAAGAGAAAGGGAAGTAGGGTGGAAGGATGCATGTAATCCTACAGTCCTGCATGTTGAAAGCTTTGATTTTGGATTTCTTCCATTTCCATCTCTTCTCTTATCCTTTCAGGGCATAAAGTAGGAAAAGTCATCAAAAGGGATGTCCACCTGTGAAGAACAATATCCTGGCCTTGCCTCCATTTTTCCAAGTTAGAGGGGCTGGGATGCTCCCGGGAATCTTAGTGTGTGACATTTTCAGCTGTGACCACTAGATGGCAGCCTCTATTCATGCGCTCATACTTCCGGTGTCTGGAAATTCTCAGAATTTTTGAGATTTTGACCAGCGTTGAATTCAACCATTTTCCTTTCTTCCTCTTCAGATGTTTTAATTCCAGATGGGGGCTGGGGGCATTATCCATTCACTTATCTACTGGGACCGCACTATGACAAGTTTTCTAGGCAATAAATATAAAGACAAAACCCTTTTTGCAAGCTCAATCAGAGAGTAAGCAGGAGAAAGGGAAGCCAGAGAAGGGACTGTCCAAGAAATAAATACAGAGAAGGGGTACAGAAGCCAAGAGAGGGAAGGTTTTAAAAAAGGATGAGTGAAGTATACTCACTCATAGAGAAGTATACTGAGAACTGAGAAAAAGCAGGGGATAAATGCTAACAGATGTGAGCGCAATTTAGGTGACTGGTGAGGGTGACTGGCTGCTGAGGAGCCCAGGAGTTTGCAGAGCCTGAGTGGTGCTGGACTCGTCAGTGGACTTGGCAGTGCAAGGATAGAGGCACAGTGGTGACCAGGAAGGTGCAGACCCCCTGAGGACTTCCTGGAGGAGGGGGCCCAGTGCCTGTTTGTAGGAAAATTAAAGACATTGAAGACAATGGGAAAATTAGAGGAAATTACCAGGATTGAGGGTAGGGGGTAGAGGTGATGGGAAGAGATGAGGTACAGGAGTTGTTAACCTTGGATCAATTTTGTCAAAGCTCCTAACCTACTAATTGCTGGGACTTTAGGGAAGAACCCTCTTTAAATTTACTTGCTTTCCCAGGGTGCTCATCTCAACTCCCAGCAGGCATTTAATAAGTTCTGTTTGCAACCTATCCTTCCCAAAAAAGCAAAAAAAAATACTGCTTGAATAATTGGTAAAAGAATAATCCTACAATTCTGGAAAGACTTGTTGTGGATGGTGCTTTCTGTTTTTTCTATTGTATAGTGTTTGCCAAGAGCTCCTACTTTGACAACATCTGAAAACTAGGATGCCTTATGAGTTCTCATCTTCTGGTTTTCTAGTTTCATTTTATATCTTTTTCTTTTCCTTTATTTTTTTTTCTTTTTCCTAGATGCCAGTGCCCAACCCATTCTCATACTTACTCCCAAGGTAAAAATACATTTTGTGTTTTTAAACTATCCACAATTTCTAATTCCACAGTTGGCACTTGTAATACATTTGGGCAGAGAATAAAGTGAAAAAATCAAGGCATGTGAGAGGAAGACTGATGAAAATGGTTGCTTTTTCACTTGAAATTGGTAATATGTAGTTCTAATTATATGATGTTAGATGAGTGTATGCTAGAAATTATATTTGGTTCAAATATATATCTAATGCTATTTAAATGTTTTTCTATTTTAAATAGAATTATTTATTTGTCAAAGCTAAAAATAGTGGCACAGATAGGGCTTTCGGATTGTCTGAGTTCATTGAACAGATAAAATATTCCATTACATCTCAAAGAAGAGACTAGCAAACAAGGCTATTTCTAGAAGGGAGGCAGGTTTGTATCAATTTTTAAATAAAATTATTTTCTTAATAATAAAACATGACAGAAGTTTTCAGTTCCCACAGACATCTTAATCCTTACCAACTCCATTGTCGACAAAGCAGCAGGAAGCTCATTGAGCTTCAGCGTATCCTCAGAATGTCACATGAATTACCGACACAAAAATGATTTCCCCTCTTAGAAGAAAACAGCACAGCAAGAGATGGAAAGGAGGAGACCTGCCTATACAGGATTCTAAGCAGAAACCCACAGAGATGCCTGTTGGGGAGTAGAACAGATAAAATTACTTAATGAGGGCTTTTTCCTGGCCATAGAGTGTCTCACAATTCAAGATAGACAAGGGACCTCCGAATCATTCATAGCCATCTAATAGGCAGAAGCATGCCCAAACTTCTAAGCCCTCATGAACAAATACAGAATTCATGTTCAGCTGTTTTTTTCTACTTTTTAGTTGGTTTCAACAAAGATTCAATAACTTCCTATTTGAGGAAATAAAATTAATAATTAAAAAAATAATCTCTCTGTTTTCTGGGATCCAATTTCAACCTTCTCCGAAATTTAATAACAGGAATAATAGACTTTTTAAAAAACCTCTAGGAGTCAACAAAATTACAATTTTTATTAAGGATGTCACTGCTTTAGAAAACTGAAGATAGATTATTATGTTGTTGGGGCCTTTCTTTCTTTGGGAAAAAAAATGGCAGTAACAATTGCTCTGTAGACTTTTTGTTCAATCTTATGACTGACCAAGACTCATATAAATAGATTAGAACAAGGATAAAATTATTAAATGGGACCCTCAATATGACAAAATCATTTCTTCTATAACTAAATCCTGCTATTTTGCAAAGAAGTAGCAGTTTATAAAAATTTTTTTTTAATATTTATTTTATTTGTACAAGAGCCAGGGTACAGGCCAGATGCGTGGGAGGGTGAAAGAATTCACCAGAGACAGAGCGGGGAACAGAATAGGCAGACTGACGAAATACACTGTTGAGGGGAGCAGCGGGCGAGACAGGAGAGGTCTGCTGGCCATGTGGGTTGCTCCGAGGCCGGTGGGGATAGAACTGGTGCTGCAGAGGCTGCAGACAGCTTCACAGCGTTGCACTCAACCGCCTACACAACCAGGGAGGGCCCTATAAAAAATTTTTTTAAATCTCATAGAGAAAACAAAATTTGTTATATGTGTAAATTTGAGAAATGTAAATATCATACCATGATAAGTAACCTCCATGGAAAAAAAATCTTAATCCAAATGATCACAGTTGCTATGGGAAATGCAACTCAATTAATGAAATTACTAATAGTTGTTCTCCAACAATAGCCCAACTCTTGAGTTTAAAGGATTGTTTTTCTAGAGGATTTTTAAACATTATATTTTCAAAAGCATACATTATTTCAATGGGAAAGTTGTTTTAAATAGCTTTATTATGACAATCAGCATCAAGTTTGCATTATATCTCTAAAAAATGCAAGTTTAATTTTAATTTGATATGCAACAATGAAACCTGAAAAATATATTTTAGGTAAGGCTTCAAGGGAGGTGTTTATGTTAACTGTCAGAATACTAATTTAGTATCAAATCACAATAGTTTTACTTTCTGTTTGAGACATTCTCTAATGCTGAGTTTTACATTTCCAGCTCCTGGACTTTCATCTTCTGGGAAAACAACAGAATATGCCTTTGAGGTAGATTTAATCAATCCATTCCTTCTTCTATGAATGACCTGAAAAAATACAACTAGAGTATTTTGTCAGTACATTATTATCTCATCTGAAATCTGTTGTTAATTGATGTTCCCTAATTTCATTATTCCTTCGGGCTCTTTTTCAGTAAAGTACTTTGTTAGGATCATGGAATATAAATTTTATGATAATATGAGTAATATCTGGAATACTGTCTTCTAATCAGACATGAAATTAGTACAGATTTTCAGTTTACAAACTCTCTAACTTACATATGTTAAATGTTAAATATTATTTAGTTTTATAATTATAACAATCCCAAAAGAGATCCAAGTAACCTTTTGAAACAAGAATAAAGGAATAATTAATTCTGATGAACTTTTATCACATTGTAATTACATAATTATTTGTTTAAATCCCTATCTTTCCTAGCTCAAGGGTCGTAGATTAAAATGTCTCTATGAGCTTGACAGTTTAACGGGTCCATGATCAGGCTCACATTGCTTGGAACAGAGAAAACACTCAGTTGCTTTGGTTGTATGAGAAGCTGGATGAGTGCATGAATGAATGAATGAATGGGTAGCTGGATACACACATACAAGGGTAATTGGCTAGATGATTGGTTGAATGAGTAAATGAAGGGGCAAAAATGCACAGAAACAGCAACATTTAACTTGAAAAGTAAGTAATTTGAGAATTAATTTAGGTGTAGAGTCAAGGAAACCAGACATTTCAATCTAAGGGTTTGAAAGCTCAGATTTTATGATGTGTTTGGGAAAAGATAAGTATTTCCAAAGTGCCTGGAATCCAGGTTTGATTGTGGAAGTATAATGAGTCTGATGCCAAATAGGATGTGGGGGCAAGCTGGAAGGCCATGCTAAGGAAAATAAACTTTATTCTCTGGCCAATGAGAACCATTTAAGATTTTTAGAAGTGGAGTGAACAACTCTCTAATACACCCTACACCTTAAGTCTTTTTTCTTTTTCAGATGGCTGTTTCAAATATTAGATATGGAGCAGGAGTAACAAAGGAAGTGGGCATGGCAAGTATTTGAGATTTCTTAGTCTTCTAGATAGGTTAAATATCTTTTAAAAGAGTACAAGTTGAGAACAGTTGAGTCCGTTGTTTTGAAAAATATACATTGTTAAGTTTGCTATAAGAGTCTATTACAGTGCAAGTGCAATCAAACCTAATTTATAAATTATCTTTATTATTGTAGGACCTACAAAACATGGGTGCTAAAAATGTTTGTTTGATGACAGACAAGAACCTCTCCCAGCTCTCTCCGGTACAAATAGTTATGGATTCCCTAGTGAAGAATGGCATAAACTTTAAGGTTTATGATAATGTGAGGGTGGAACCCACTGATAAAAGGTATTCTTCCATTGTTATTATGTTAAGTGGAATCAACACATACCATTGGCATTTAGAACTTGCCCCAGGCCATATTTAATGGCTTGGCAACTTATTTCTGAAAAATGTGACATAATGGTTTTTATTTTCCCTTTTCCAAGCTTCATGGAGGCTATTGAGTTTGCCAAAAAGGGAGATTTTGACGCCTATGTTGCTGTGGGTGGCGGCTCCACCATGGACACATGTAAAGCTGCTAATCTGTATGCATCCAGCCCTCACTCTGATTTCCTAGATTATGTCAATGCCCCCATTGGGAAGGGAAAGCCTGTGTCTGTGCCTCTTAAGCCTCTGATTGCAGGTAAAGACTATTTTATTTTCCAATTGGCAAAAGTCCGTAGAGAAGATACAAGTTCATAATTTGGGGGTATATGTTTCCACAGCTTTCTGATTTCTTCATTTTGGTGTAGTACCTTGTTTGGAGAACAAAACAGCAAGTCATTGGTGTTTAAAATGCTGATCTTCATTATTGCACAGAGGCAATTTGGTCAGTGTTGGAAAGGTTTGCAGATTTAAGCTATGAGGTCATTATGTGGGGTGGGGGTGGGGATGAAAGGTCATCATTTACATACTATTAGATCCCTTTGTAATAAGCAAGTTTTGTCTTCTAAACCCTTCTCCTTTGTCCCAGTTTTACCAGCCGCTGTGCAGTCTTAAGTGGGACATTTGCTATTATCTTTTGGTGTTGACTCAACCCTTTCTTCCATAGAAGACTCTTCAGCGGACCTGGGGCTCTGTCTGCCCTGGGACATGTGGCCGTTATCATCTGCTCTGTGGCTGCCCTGGACACACACACATCTCCAAGTCAGAATAGTGTGTCTGTTCCACACAGACTTTGAGATCTTTCAATCATTTCCCCTCCCATTTTATGACAGATGATATATTATATTCAGTTTTTAGCTAAAATACACTGACAACTGAAAAATATCGTTTAAAGTTTTGTCTTCTCTCTTTTCACCCTTTTCTTCCCTTTGTGAATGTACCTTGGGATGAGATAGGAATGAGTTGATGGCAGATGAACTTTGATGTGAATGAGCAATCAGCAGGGAGCAACATAATTGACATAATTGACGGCTGGCAAACGGAACCCCTCTGGTGAAACTGTGTCAGCATCACACAGAGGAGTGATTAGTAAAGTTTAGAAACTTGACAGAATTACAAAACCAAAGAGCTCAGCAAAGGCAAAACGTTACTGTGCTTACTGCCAGGACAGAATAAAGATGTCCTTTAGAGACAGCAAATATGAATTTTCATACCAGAGCTGCCAAGCAGTCTGGATTTGAATACCCAGCTGCATCTGCTTAAATTCTGTGCTACAGGAGCCTCAGGTTCTCTGAGCTGTTAATACAGAAATAAACATTATACCTGCATGTTAAACACATGTGTGTGTTAATACAGACCTGATATCATACACATATACATACAAGTTAGTGCAAATACAGACCTCACATATCCATGTTAACACAGATGTAGACATCATACATCAGCATCAAGTATACACTTGTGTCAGATACACATACATAATGATGTGGACATCATACATGTCAAATATGCATTGTGTTAAAGCAGGTGGAGATCAAATGTGCATGTTAATTGTGTGTGCTGACATGTTGATGTAAACACAGGTATCATGCCTGTTATACACACATATTAATGCAAACCAGACATATATGTTAAATATACATGCTTGTTAATACAGACTTAAACATCAACGAGGAATTAGGGCAGCAAAACTTCCTTCCCTAACTTTGTTCTTTATTTCCTAAGGCCAAATATAGTTTATCCAGTCACCTTTATTCAGATGCTTTTTTAAAATGAATGTGATTTTGTTCAAGTCCCAACCACCTCAGGAACTGGGAGTGAGACTACTGGAGTTGCCATTTTTGACTATGAACACTTGAAAGTAAAAACTGGTAAGAACTTTGCCCTTAAAATTTGTTTTTAATTCTCTCTTACATTTCACCTTCACCCCTTATCCTTTAGTAATAATATTTTTAAATTAAGGAGTACATATACACATTCTCTTTCTTTTATATGTAAAAGATGTGAAACAATCTAGTAAACTTGTTTCTAAGAATTACCTTCAAAAGCATATTGAAATGCCATGAATCTTTTTTCTGTATCTTTTTTTTATTTTTTTACAATCATTGTTCATCTTTAAATAATATTTGCTTCCCTCCACCCCCTCAGGTGTAGTCCCCATAGAGTTTCCTTCACCAATGCACCCGTGCACCATCACCTCAGTCCCCTTTGTTTCTCCCTCCCTCCCTCTGATCCCTCTTCCACCTCCTCCCCTGCAGTATGTCTCTGATTTATAATTGTCTGTTTTTGTTTTGTTTTGTTTTGTACTATTATTATTTTTTTACACTGATGTCTTATTGGGTTCCCCTATATTCCTGCTATAAGTGAAACCATCCGATATTTTTCTTTTTCCTCTGGCTTATTTCACTGAGCATAATTCCTTCTAGCTCCATCCACATTATTGTAAATGGCATGAGTTTATCTTTTTTGATTGCTGAATAATATTCCATTGTGTATATATACCACATCTTCTAGATCCAGTCGTCTATTTTTGGGGATTTAGGTTGTTTCCAGGTTTTACCTATTGTAAATAGCGCTGCAATGAACATAGGAGTACAGGTGGTCTTTTGAATCAATGTTTTTGTGTCCTTTGGTTAGATCCTTAGTAGTAGAATTGCCGGGTCATATGGTAGCTCCATTTTCAGTAGACTGAGGAACTTTCAGACAGCTTTCCACAGTGGTTGGACCAGTTTGTACTCCCACTAGCGATGTAGGAGAGTTCCTTTTTCACCACATCCTCTCCAACATTTGTTGTTGCTTGTTTTTTTGATATGTGCCATTCTTACTGGTGTACGGTAGTATCTCAATGTGGTTTTAATTTGCATTGCCCTGATTAAAAGGGAAGTTGAATATTTTTTCATATGCCTGTTGGCCATTTGGAAATGCCATGAATCTTGACTGGCCATTTTTTTCCCCAAGTTAATGACTATCAGGAATAAATGTTTATTCCCTTTCTCAGACATCTTTTGTATATTTAATTGAGATGAAATTATATGTAATAAAGTTCAGGAGTTGGGGTTAATTAATTCTGACAGATATGTACGCCCAGGTAACTCCACCCAATCAAGATGCAAAACATTCCTATCCCTCCAGAAAGTTCCCTCATGCTCCTTCCAAATCAGTCCTTCCAGCTCCATTGTCAAGGAATCACTGTTCTACTTTCCATCTTGTCATTTTTATCCTTTCTTCTCTAACTCTCAGCTACTGTGTAAGCAAATCTCTCTCCTTGTGTCTGACTCAATATCCTTCCAGGTGTTTGTAACAACAAAAAAAAATTAACATTGAACCACACATGTATAGTAAACACTCTTTTTTTAATTAAATTACAATATCCTTTAACGTTGTTAAAGGTAGTCATAAGGTAACTGACACTAAAATTCTATCTTAGAGTTTTTTCAAGACTTTACATAACATTATCTAATGTGATCCTTACAATAGCTCTGTGAGAGATGGAGACCTTGTATAACTATAACCCAATCTTAACAATTCAAAGAGAGGCTCAGTGACTTACCCAAAGACAGAGTATCAGAGCAAGGTGCCACACTGTGAGAGTGCTAGTAAACCCACTCTCTGGAATTTATTAAATAAATAAGCTCTGATTTGTAGCATTTGTCTATTTCTGCCTTATGAATACTCCCACGATAGCCAATGACATCACTCAGTCTGGAGCTGGGAAGAGATGCACATATTTGGCACTTGGAAGAAGCTTCAGCTCCACTGAAAAACCCAGCTTTCTAACTCCAAGTCATTTTTCTATTGCTTCTTGCAATGCAATTCTCCCTACTAAGAATGAATTTTATCTCATATTTTTAGGGTAATTTCTTGTGCTTAAGTTAATTAACATTTTTAAATGGTATCCATACCTCTGTTGAAAATCCCTGTCTTAGGCATTGCTTCCCGAGCCATTAAACCCACGCTGGGACTGGTTGATCCTCTGCATACACTGCACATGCCTGACCGGGTGGTTGCCAACAGTGGCTTCGATGTGCTCTGGTAGGTACTGGTGCCACCTGAAGGGGCTTTTTCGGTACTTGGACAGCACTTTATTGCTGAGAGAACTTGCTTAGCATTAATTGATGAGTGTGTAACACCCACCCTGATTTTGCCTGTCATCATCCCCTTTCCTAGATGAAAATATTGAAGCTGTATAGGTTGGTGACTAGATGAGGTCCCAGGTGAGACACAAACCTGTTATTCAGGATGCACCACTCTAGACACAGCTACTGCCACAGGGACACAGCAAAATAAGCGGGTGGAGCTGACATGCAGTCTCAGACCCACAACACCAACAGCTACACTAACCAGTGAATGCCAAGGGTTGCCCCAACCCAGAAGGGGGCAGGGAGGGAATGAATGGGTCAGCGCTTTACACACATCACTTCACTATAGCTCTAGGCCGCAGGGTAAGGAAAGATGGGTTCGAGGTGTTCGGGAACTTTCCCAGAGTTGTGCCATGCACTCCTCCCTGGGCTTCAGCAGCCAGGTGCCAATGACTCTAATTAATGTTTCTACTGCAGACTTCACTCCTAACTGCAGCCTGTTTGTTCAGCGGCCTCACAGAGGTCCCACAGGCACTTCACTTTCAATATGTCCCAGATGACCCTATTTCATCCACTTGTACAAGCACATTTTTTCACATTCTAACATCTCTGAAATTCAAGACGTATCTTAAAATCTGCGACATAGTAGTATATGGTACAATTTTGAAAGTGTAGACCTTATAATGCATGGTATCTTAAATTTGATGAAATCTGATAAGTCTCTTAACCTCACCATACTCCATAACTTCTCTGCATCAGTCCCTTAAATTAATAAATAGCAGGACTCAGTATGAATGTCCCCCTTTTCTCATGCCCCCATCCAGCCAGCAGATCCTATCTCTTACCCTGCTTGAAATTCTATCATGACTGCTCCCTCTCAAGCCTCATTGCTGCTACCTAGTTCAGGCCAATCATCCCTGGAACATTACAGTTATTATCTTCATCATTTTCCCTGGCCCCATCCCATAGTCCTTCCATCTGTTCACCATACTGACCTCAACAAGCTTTCGGAATGCATTGTAACCATCACACATGTACATGAGCACACACTCACATTCACACTCCTCTATCAGGTCTTTCAGTGGCTCCCTACAGACAGATGGCCAAATTCCTTTGTTCCTAGAATATCCCCAACACGCAGCTCTTAATCTTTTGGAGAACTCATCCTTAAGTTCCACTAGAACATTGTGTCATTGATGGAGCCTTTGCAGGTCCCACTGTCCCCTTTCCTCACTCCATCCTTTGCTCTTCCCCATTGCTTCTAAGACACCTCTCTCTTCACATGCCTGTCTTCCTCTCTGCACTGGGAGCTTGTCATGATAATGCTATTCACCTCTCTATCCCTACCTCTTAACCCAGTGGCTGTCACATTATGAGTACTCAGTTAATACCTGATGAATGAAGTTCACACAAGCAGGAGATGGCAGAGTTAGAATTCATGTCTAGGTCTATCCAAGTTCATTGCTTTTCTCACTACATTATGCTGCCTGCCAAGAAACAGGATAAAATTGTGCCCAATTCTAGCCTTATCAATGTTGTCCATACTTTGAAGAGTTGGACCCTAATAACTTAGAAATAAGGGAAATACGAGTACTCTTCCTAAGTGTAAACTGTGTAATAAATATAAAATGAACCGAAGCAGTCACCTTTAAGTGAATGATTCACAGGCCTAAAAATTTCACCGTCTATCAGAGGAGGGAGCGTGGTTGCTGCTCAAATGCTATCTGAGGGTCAGAACATTTGACCTGAGCAATCTGACCCTGTGGCCCAGCAGCCTGTTTTGAAGATGGGCCTATCCATGTATTCATTGTTAGTAGCAATTCCCCTTGTAAGGACCCCCACAGACTCTCTGGTTATAAATTAGCCACTGCGAGAACTTGCCAATAAGGAGGCAATTTTCCATCTAAAGGCTAGTGTTGGTCCCACTCAGCAGTTACATGTCTCATTGTAAATCAATAATCTGACTTCCAGCTTCCACACATAGTCGCTGTAAGCTAAGCTCAGCAAGTCTACTCCTGAGAGACGTATCTGCTCTTGGATTTAATTGAGACTCCCTGCAGGGCAAAAGTCCTACCCTGCATATCACCACCCACCCTCCCCACACAGACTCTTCATTCTTATATGTCCCAGCGTCACTCTTTAAAGCCACAAAGCCAGAGCACCTATCTACTGACTAATGAAAGGAATTCTAATTCTTTGTTCAAAGGATATTACCTTCTTATAAGTAGAAAAGAATAAATTCTCCATTCTAAAACTGAAAACTATAATTCATGCAAAAATTATTCCATGTTCTATAGTGTTCCCAATGCATCACTGATAAAATGGTTATGGCTGGGCCTCCCCTGGTGGCGCAGGCGGTTGAGCGCCGTGCTGTGACACTGTCCGCAGCCTCTATAGCACCGGTTTGATCCCGGCTGGCTGGCAAGGGACCCACCTGGCGCGGCAGACTGCTCCTGTCGCACCCACTGCTCCTCTCATCAGTGTATTTCATCAATCTGCCTGTTCTGCTCCCTGTTCTGTCTCTGGTGAATCCTCTCACCCTCCCACAAATCTGGCCTGTACCCCAGTTCTTTTATAAATAAATAAATCTTTAAAAATAAAATAAAATGGTTATGGCTATTCTCCTTTTCTGCAGCTGATTAGCTAGAATTAGTGGCAACCCAACAAATGAAGGCAATTCTATGCTTGATTCTTGAAATATCCAGCCCTGAGCTTCAGGCATGTAAGGAAAAAAATTTGTTTTTTAGGCCAAGAATTAATAATAGAGGTGAATGATAATTTTATAATACACTGAGCATTAGTCTAAGTATATGCATATGTCAATTCACTTAATTTTCATGATGACATGATGACATATGGTCATTATCCCTGTCTTTGAGTAATAGGAAGGGTTAGTCCTGGCACTTCAGCAAGAAAGTCTGGTGCCAGGACTTATACATGGGCAGCTGACCCCAGGGTCTGTGTTCTCACCCATTGTACCATACTTTTAGTAGGAGGCTAGTATAATTATGACCTTGGGTAGTGTGGTATTAGATCAATGCACAGTACAAAATAGTAAATATATATTATTTTGAAAGTCACTTTTTAGATTCAATGCTTTCTTCACAACTGAAATGCTTAAAAATACCACATCATTAAAATTTATTTGCACTGGGCCTCCCCGGTGGCGCAGTGGTTGAGTGTTCGGCTGCAAAGCTGCCAGCAGCCTCTGCAGCACTGGTTCGATGCCCGGCTGCCTGGCGAGGGTCCCACATGGCGCGCAGACCTCTCCTGCCACCCGCTGCTCCCCTCAGCAGTGTGCTTCAGTCCTTCTGCCTGTTCTGCTCCCTGCTCGGGCTCTGGTGAGTTCTCTCACCCTCCCGCACTTCTGACTGTACCCGGTGCTTGTATAAATAAATAAATCTTAAGAAAAGAAATTTATTTGCACTGGAAAGGGGCCATATGTAATCTTATACATGCTGGTCAAAAACACTGGTGTTGTTAATATAAACCTCACTGAGTTTTTATAGTAGACAAGAGACTGATTAGTAGGTTGTTTTGTGATTATCAGTGCTGTATAGCATGGAATGAGTGGTAGTTTGTAGTCTGAATGGACAGAAAGAGAAAGATGATGCTCTCTATCTGTGTGTTTTAAATATTTCTTGTTAGCCATGCCCTGGAGTCCTACACTGCCCTTCCTTACCACCTGCGAAGCCCGTGTCCTTCAAATCCCATCAGTCGGCCAGCCTACCAGGGCAGCAACCCAATCAGCGACATTTGGGCAGTTCATGCACTGCGGATCGTGGCAAAGTATCTGAAGAGGTGGGTCAACCCGAGGGGATTGAAACAGAACAGATAAACTACATTCTGCCATCACATAAAATGTAGCTCAGGATCCTGGAATATCCTCAGCAAGTCTGCTAAAAAGATCAGTCAGTGACTGAAAAGAAGTACCGAGATCTGCACCCTCCCGAGTTATGAACAGGGATGATAAAAAAGCCACATGAGGACAATAAATACTGGATCCTTCTGTCTGAAAGCAATGAGTGCAAGAAGACAAAATAGAAAATCTAACTTACTGATAGATTTTCTCAGAATCAAAGCTAGGCTGAGGGGCAATGTCCTTTGAGATTTGACTACTAAGGAAAGAAATGAGAACCACAGAGGCAAATGCTAGCTGTGTCTATCCATGCCCATCCAATCGACCCATTGAACAAACTCACATGAACTCATTTTAAGAAATGTATATAGAGGGCCTCCCTGGTGGTGCAGGCAGTTGAGCGCAGCGCTCTGAAGCTGACACAGACTCTGAAGTGCCAGTTTGATCCCCGCTGGCCTCGGAGCAACCCACATGGCAAGCAGACCTCTCCTGCCTCACCCGCTGCTCCCCTCAGCAGTGTATTCCATCGTTCTGCCTGTTCTGTTCCCTGCTCTGTCTCTGGTGAATCCTCTTACCCTCCCGCGCATCTGGCCTGTACCACGGATCTTGTATAAATTAGATAAATCTTTAAAAAAAAAAAGAGAAATGTATATAGAGTTCAAAGGTTTTGAAAGATTTATGAATGACATCTCCTAATAGGCTCCTAAGAGAGCAAAGATAACAGCTAGCGATGAAAGCTGATCCTTGAGACATGAAGACATATGCAAAGTCAAACTCACTTTTAAAGTTATACAAAATGCACAAGCAGCTTAGATGTGAGGATAGTGCCTCCTCTGAACTTCAGCTGAAAGCTGCATTGGGAAGTGGATGTGCACTGCGCTTTTGAGTAAGCTGGGAGAAAAGACTGAACTGTTTCAGATTCATGGAGGTCACATGGAACTATGGAAGCATTTGGCTAGTTAGAAGCAGGTACAGGTTGGTCAACTAATATGTTTGACAGAGACAGAAGGCTTGGCAGTGCAGCCACAGGAGGTGAGGGTGTAAAATGGACATAGAGGCTGAGACTCCATCATCTGCTATTTCATCCTTGTTATTTAGGGAATAAGGAACTAACATTGGACTTTGGAAAGAAACACCAACACCAAGCCATCTATTCCAAGTGAAAGGAGGAAAAGGCTGTGGCACTTTTATTTCATAACAGGAAACTTTACTCGAGGCAAAATTGCAGAAAGGCAAGTGAGAAGTGGTTCACATAGCTATCTTAGACTCCCTCCTTGGGCCTGGGTTTCCAAGCAGCGAGTGCAGAAAGACTGAGCTGCATCTAAAAGGGGCCTTTGAGAATTTGCTTTTCCAAAGTGGCATTAGGGACTTACAGAGCAAGCAAAGATTAGTCCTGCAATACATCCCGCTTCCACAATAATAAGTATAAAAATAACATGTGCAGTTTCTACAGATACCAAAAGCGGTCTCTAGTGGGTCTGATTGGGACAGTATCTTAAAAAAGAATGGATGGTTGTGCAGCTGCCTTGGTCTGCTGGTAGCTCCAGGCGACAGACTCACTGGAGGAGACAGTTGGGCCACATGCATTCTGCATATATGTTTACTCTAGGACCACTCACGGCTGTGGTCAAAGTCATTGACAAATGAAGAAGAAGAATGAGTCTCAGGACACTTTTCCAGATCACCTCCCACAATCCAAGGGTCAATGCTTTTCTTCCCTTGGCACTTTTATCACATGAGCAGCCTGACAGGATATTTATTATGCCTTTGCTAAAACAGTTGATGAAAAAATATGTTTCCCTTTGGTTTTGGTTTAGATGAGGAGATGTCATTTGAATAACTTGCCTAATTTTTCTTCCCAACAAGTAACATTTCTTTTTTTTTCCAGATCATTCCCTAAGGCGATTCTTTATTTAGTAGGAAATGCCAATGTTGATGTGTTGTTAGGTATTTATGTCATCCACAGGGCTGTCAGAAATCCTGATGATCTTGAGGCAAGGTCTAATATGCACTTGGCAAGCGCTTTTGCTGGCATTGGCTTTGGAAATGCTGGTGTTCATCTGTGGTGAGCAAGTTAAGATTTTATTTCTTCACCTCGACTATTGTTTTTAAGTTTTTAAAAATGTTTCTAATTTCAGACAGGTGGTAAAATTTAAATATGCTATAGAAAGAAGAAATTTTAGCTTAAAGACATAAAATATTTTACTTCAAATATAATTTATTGGGTCAAAGATTTTTTGGTTTGGATTTTTCTGTAGGGTTTTTTTTTTTTGTAACAGCTTTATTGAAATATAAATCACATACTTTGCAAGTTGCCTATTTGAAATATACAGTTCTCAGAGTTGTACAACCATTACCACAGGCAATTTGAGAACATTTTATTACCCTGAAAAGAAACACCATACCACTTAACTATCACCCACCAAACCTCCCATGTTCCTCTGTGTTAAGCAACTACTGATCTATTTTCTGTCTATAGATTTACCTATTCTGGACATTTCATATAAATGGAATTATATAATATGTGACCTTTTGTCTGACTTAACTTAATTTTGCATTATTCACCAATGAATATATCAATACGCCATTTTTTTTATTGCCAAGTAACATTCCATTGCATAGATATACCATGTTTTATTTATCCATTCATCAGATGGTGAACATTTGGACTTCTATTTTAGTTATTTTGAATAATGCTGCTATGGACGTTCGTGTACAAGTTTATATGTAGACATATGATTTATTTCTGTTAAGTATATATTTCAGAGTGGAATTTCTGGATCATATGGTACTTTATGTTTTAAGTTTTGAAAAACTGCCAGACTGTTTTCACAGTGATTCTACAATTTCGACCAGTAGTGGATGAGGATTCTGATTTCTCTGTCTCCTTGCCATGTTTTATAGATTTTTTTAAATCTCAAATGCAGAATTTTTTTTCCCTCCTAATCTCTCACAAGAGAAAAATAAGAATCTTTGACAATAGCTCAGAATTAGCCTCTTTGATCAGAACTTTATTGGTATTTTGCCTTTAAATTGAAAACTCGTGAATACAGAATTAAGACCAGGTCTTTGCTAGGAAGACTGCAATGAAGTGTCATCTGCAAACTACTGCTGAGAGGAGCATAGATCTGAAAACCTTTGTTAAAGCAAATAAGCAAAGTCTACCCAGGGCTTAAAAAATACTTATACCCAGTAACCCATTAGCTTTACTTCCAGGAATGTAGCCTAAAGAAATAATCATGATATAATCAAAGAATTTCCTTATAAGCCATAGTCACCAAGGTGTTATTTATGATTGAAAAAGCAACTTAAATTTCAAGTTTGGGCATGGTTAACATGCCCTCGAGAATAAAGTAGGGTTGTTAAAAACTATGTTTTGGAAGAAAAGAAAAGTCATATGGGAAAATGTTTATAAAGACTACTAAATAACAAAAGCAATGTTTAAAATTATATGTACAATATGATCATTAATTAAAGATATGCATAAAGGGCAAAAAAAAGAAACATTCTATAGTGGTTATCTTGATATAAAATTATGGATAATTTTTAAATTTTTTAAAGAACATATTTAACTGTTAAAGGAAATGAAACTGAAATATTTAGTATTGTTAGAGCGGTGCCTTGAAAGCTACAATAAACCACTTTACATCATGAAAACACACAAAGCAATAACTTTCTGAGTATTAGAGGCCCAAAAAATTAAAGCACCTCTCTAAGTACCCAACAACTCAGAGAACCAATAGCTTCCCATCTGCTTCATGAAAGATGAGAGGCAAGGGGTACCTTTCATACAGTTTGCCAAAATAGTCAACCTCCTATGAAATGTAAATCTTTTCGTGAATGAGCACATAATCATCCAATAACCCACATTAAAAGAGTAGCAAACTACTACTCTAAAGCATTTCCTTTTCAATATATTAACTTTTCACAATGTTTATCTTTGGGTCATCTAATAAACTATAATGTTGTTCTGTTTGCTTACCAAGAGTTCAAGAAAATATAAGGCATTTTCCCATTAAAACAAACCAAAATAAGGGGATATAAGAATGGTGGTGGAGAAAAAAAAAAAAAAAAGAAAAAGAAATTTGAGAACTGACAAGCAAAAAGATGCTTAAGCATTTATTTATTCTTATGCATGTTGACACAGGATGTGGACTCACATGCCCTTTGGAGTCTAAGTTACTTCCTAACTTAGTTACTTCCTAACTTGCTGTTGTATATTTGAAGTAGAGGATTAAATCTCTATAAGAAAACAAACAAAAATAACCCCACAAATAAAGAGAACATGGTTCCTTTCTTGATAGTCTTTCAGGACAGAATAATAATCACTTATGATTCAAGTTCATTAGTATGTAACATCTGAAAGAATGTCTCAATTACTGGCAGGACAGATTGCTGGCAGGTCACACTTGTGTGTCTAATGCAGCACGCTTTGGCTCATAACTCCCATCAACATCTTGAGCCAGTGCAGGTGCAGGCTGCCAAGGGAGTGCAGAGCAAAACAGAAGATACATGCCCTGGTGCTTATTAAAGGCACTTCAAAGGAAATTCTTGATTTCTTCAAGATGATAAAGTTAACCAATGTGTTTGGGGAGCAACCTTGGTTGGCATCAACATTTTTTAATGGCATACAACTTCATGAGCATTTGAATTTGAACACTGGAGAGGTTTTATTAATGAACACACTAAATGTCAAGTATATAGTAACATATCCTAATATCATAGAATACAGAATGTATAACTTTGTGAGATAACAATATTGTGCAGAGACTGTTAAGGGCTTCCTCATAAGAGTATCTTTGTATTGTTAACTTGAATTTGTGCTAGCTACATGTCAACATAAGGACTCTTTCTTTTCCAGCCATGGAATGTCCTACCCAATATCTGGCTTAGTGAAGACATATAAAGCAAAGGATTATAATGTGGATCACCCACTAGTGGTAAAATCATACTAAATTGTTTCATTAATTCTTGCACTCCTCACACTTTCCATAAATGTATTTATCAAATCTTGATTACTTAGAGTATAAGTGAAAGTAAGTTAATAGCTATAATATGCAGATTGAAGGCCAGCTGTGCCCCACTTGTCACCATGCTGTGTTTCTCTCCAGCCTCATGGCCTTTCTGTGGTGCTCACCTCTCCAGCGGTGTTCACTTTCACGGCACAAATGGCTCCTGAACGGCACCTGGAAACAGCAGAAATACTAGGTATGAACCATCACTCATAAATATGTGACACATATATGTGGAGCATTTCCTAGGTTTGCTTCTAAAGATAAAACATTAAAAAAATCCCAAATGTTGCTTTGAGAGTTTAATAATAAAATGTTGGTAATCTGCACAGTGTTATGTAATGCTAAAATTAGATAACTTTCTATTCCTAATAGTTTATCAATAACGAAATGAACCCATATCATGTATGTTAAGTTTGTAGTAATGTTATTTCCACTGTTTTCATCCCCAGGAAAAGTGAAACTCTATATAGTATTAATATTACAAATGACTTTTGCCATTTTGTAATAAATAATGCAATGCTATTTGTTTAATAGGTAAATTCCCAATTATAGAGAAACTAAACAATTCAAAACTTTATTAAAAAAATCCCCAAAAAAGAATTTGTTTGTGTTCTGCAAGAGAAATAATGTCTATAAGATACCAGATGTATCTTTTAAATCTTATACAAAATAAAATTGTGACAGGATAACTCTAGTTTTAAATCAAATTTTGGTGTTTTTGTAACTTGAGACCTCTTTCAAAAACACGAGATTTGATTAACTTGCAAAACATCTTATTCCCTTACTTGTGTTCAAGGTAGAGGGGATAGCTAAAAAGAAAACTTTATTATGCTTTTCTCGTACCAGCCATTGGAGAGATTATTTCCAAGGTAGGAGTGACCACAGGCATCCTTCCTTCCGTGTGAGCTGCTTCCCCTCCTTCTCTCTCACACTCTGGTCTTTGTTCTTTCCCAAGTTCCAGGTGCTGTGCTGGGAATGTTAATGAAAGAAGCCACTGCCAAGGATGAGAACCGGAGGAGCAGTGGGCTACATTTCCCAGCATGCACACTGGAAACATGGTGCTGCCTCTACCAAGGGCCTGGTGTCCCATGGCCCTTTCAGTTGGGAATGTTGTTTAGCCATGTTTTGGGGCTCAGATGCCTTTGTAAATATGCTGACAGTGTAACTAGGAAGGAGTCAGAATAGTAGGCTAGATGTATGGCAAATAGGAAAATCTTAGAAAACTTAAAGTTGATATTCCAGGAAGCCAACAAAATTACTAAGAAAGCAATTCCTCTGTTAGACAAAATCCAGGACAGGAAAAACCCACCAATTCTATCTTCTTGCATAAGAGATTTCAATATTATTCCATCCTTGACAATTAAATAGTTGATTCCCAGTGTCAGATTTTCTTAACTATAGATTTTTAATTTATTTATTTATTTATTTTTTGTGGGACCCTTGCCGGTGGCCGGGGATCGAACTGGCGCTGCAGAGGCTGCGGGCAGCCTCGCAACCCAGTGCTCAACTGCTGCACCACCAGGGGAGGCACTTAACTTTAGATTAAATTATTTTCTTTCCTACCTTCTTTTTTTTTTCTAAAACACTTTATAGGAAAACCTAGAGGTTTGGATGGTGTGTTTTGTGGCCACAATCCTGGAAACATAAAAACCTTTAACACCTTATATCATATGTCGCCTCTCCACCTAGCCCATATTTTTGCTGCTGCTGTGTAATACAGACAAGTCTTATCAAGCAAGGTTTACTTCCATCCAGCGGCACTCCCAGCTACGCCTGTATCTGGTTCTATTTATAACCTTTCCCTGGATTACTAAAACAGTCCTTGCTGTCTTAGGAGAGAAAGGTTAAAACATTAATAATGTATTTCAATATGGAGGTGAACTGCACATTCTAGTCTCCTTTTGAACAACACAGGGAAAGTGGGCTTGGGCTGGAGCATGTGGCATTTTGGATAACATGCAATGCTACATTCCACTGTTAGAGGGCTTCCTGCCAGGCAATGCATGTGTTCAACTAGAATAAAGGGTAGAGGTTTGGGAATGGTGCTAGGTTTGGGGATCAGTCCTCTTTGTCTGGGAACTTTCACTGCCACTCTGTCTGAGGGCAGAACCCCCTGGTTCTTCCAGTTTACTGTCTTCATAATCTCATGTATTAATTGTTAATTATGTCAAAATCTTGTCATAACAAATGGGAGAAATTATTTCCAAGAAGTTAGGAAACAGGCATCTCCAACCCTTACCAACCTTCTTCCCACTTTATTGATATCGTTATTATCTACATTTTGATTACTATTTTCTGAGATTCTTCATGTACTTGGGTCTGCTTAACCCACTTACTTAGAGGGAACTATCCTGCCTTTTGGCAATAGACACCAAAACAAGACATTTTGTGGCTACAAAGAGGTAATATATTCTCCCCTGGCTACACTAAATCAATTTTTCTCATACTTAATTTTCCTACCTTTCAGCAGTTAATTCTAGAGTTTTTATATTTCTATATGCCTTTGCCTCAAGATGCTGGTAAAGGGTTTGTCTTCCTTTTCCTTCATTGATGTTGTGTAAAAAGACATTGAACATGTATACCTCTAGATGTCAGCAAATCCCAAGCCTTGAAAGTTATATAAGCTGTGTTTTCTCCTACAAATAAATGTTCATTCCTCTCATCCAAATACTAGCCTTCTTTCTTGGTCTTCTGTAACTCTTTTCTTGGCTCTCTCCCTCTTCTTCCCGCCACACAGGGGCCCAGGAGGCCTTTGGAAATGTGAGAGCCCGTTAGCATGCCCGACAGTCAGCTTCTCCACAGAGGCTCTGGGGGTTCCTCCGGCCGATCTGGCCCATCTGCGGGGTTGACCTCTGGGCCTGTCTCCATGTGGAGACACAGCAGGGCCCTTGTCCTGGGTGTTTGGGAGCCAGCAGTAGGTTATGTATTCAGCTATCTTGTGACTGAATTAGGGCCAGCTTCCTCCTCTCTGGACAGTCAGTACTTTGTGTCTTCTAGGAGCTGATACCCGCACTGCCAGGATCTCAGATGCTGGACCTGTTTTGGCAGACACACTCCGGAAATTGTTATTCGATCTGGATGTTGATGATGGCCTATCTGCCATTGGTTACTGCAAGTCTGATATCCCCGCACTAGTAAAAGGAACACTGCCCCAGGTAAGAAACACAGTGTGTCTCATTCCCCCTTCCCCCCCTACTCCTGCAACTTCTCCCCTTTACTCATCAATTAGCTTTAATAATTATCAACATAGGGACAATCTTTTTCAATCTAACTCCCTTCCACTCCCTCTCACACTGGATTACTTTGAAACAAACATTAGAAATCACTTTATTGATGTATACTTTTTTGGTGTGGGTTTTTTTAACTATATAATTTATTTATATATATTTTACATCATTGTTCATTGTTTTACAATGTTTGCTTTCTTTTCTCAGGTGTAGTCCTCATAAAATCTCTACCACCAATTCACCCGTGCACCATCACCTTAGTCCCTTGTGCTCTTCCCTCCCTCGTTTTGATCCCTCTCCCTCCCCTTCCCCTGCAGAATGTCTCTGATTTATAGTTGTCTGTTTATTTTGGTTTGGTTTTGTTTTCTATTGTTATTATTTTTTTTCCCTGATGCCTTATTTGGTCCCCCTGTATTCCTCCTCCTATAAGTGAAACCATCCGATATCCTAAAAACAAAGCTTCAGGGAAGACCTGGTCCACTTAGGGTGTTTTGGGGGAAATGGATACCTAGGGCACAGGCAGAGCCTCAGTATCTCCCCCTGCTGTCTGTGTCTCCAGATAGTAGCTTCCTAGTCTCCTGAGGGCGGAGCCAAGTCTCCCTTACCTTTGTATTTGCCCACAAAACCGTCGCTATCTATGGCTTTTATGGTGTAATTAAAAGTATCCTTTATAAAAATGTAGGCAAACAGTCAAATTTATACTGAGGCACATTTTCTCTTTTCTCCATTTCTACTCTTTTGAGAAATATGTGAAGCTATTGCAAAAGGGCCACTGATATTATTTTCCATTATGATTGACTTGTAAATTCCTACTCTTTTGTGAAAATAGACATGGCCTTTAAATAATATAAAATCACTTTTTAACATATTTGGGAGCTTATTGATTTTAAACATGCATACATAAACATGCATATCTGTGTCACTTTGGATGTTATTTCATTTATTTAAAAGTTGCTGAAGAATTTAAAATGAGCTGCCGGGCCTCCTTGGTGGCGCAGTGGCTGAGCGCTGGGTTGCGAAGCCGCCCGCAGTCTCTGCAGCACCGGTTCGATCCCCGGCTGCTCCCCGGCCACCTGAGGAGGGTCCCACATGGCGCTCAGACCTCTCCTGCCGCCTGCTGCTCCCCTCAGCAGTGTACTTCGGTCCTTCTGCCTGCTCTGCTTCCTGCTCTGGCTCTGGTGAATTCTCTCACCCTCCCCCACTTCTGACTGTACCCAGTGTTTGTATAAATAAATAAGTAAATCTTTAAAAAATAATAATAAAATAAAATAAAATGAGCTGCCATTCTTTATTTGGCAAATCATAATAGATGTATAATTTCCCCTCCCGAGGTTCTCCTGAAGAAAGTTTATTCCCCATTGAATCTCTCTTCCATTTAGGATCAGCAACTCTTGTGCTAGAGCCTTAGATCATAATAGTCAAAGACCTTGTTCATTGCAACTCAGCATAAAATACAGAGCTCAGAGTTATGGGGACTTAGAGTGTGGATCACACCATGCTCCCCACTCCCAGAGTGCTTACTTAGTCCAAATGGCAAGAATCACTTAAACAATATGAGGATAAAGTACATCTACCCAAAGTTCAGGCATTCGTGGATGTAGCCCTGATATTGGAACAGAGCTAACAGTGTAGCAGAGCCCTGGGCTAACCCACAAACTCTTAGCTCTAACCCGTAAGTGCAAGGGTTAAAACAGTCTCCCCAAAAATGACTATTATAGTCATTTTAAACAAGCCTACCAGAATGTTAAGTTCTATGAGGTCAGGAACCTCTCTGTTTTGCTCATTCATCCTCTGTTGCACCAAACATGAAATGAACATCAACAACTGTAGCCCTCTCCTTCTAAATCTGTTGTCCAGGTGAACTTTATCCCTGAATGGTGATAACTTTTTGAGAAGTTTCCTTAGACTTAATAGAACCCAACTGATGACAGTGATCCATGGAATTCTATCCAGGGACTAGAGAGAAAATGGTCACCACACATTTAATGTATCTTCTGGTTCTTATAGCATGGTGCCAATAAGAGTGACTACTCTGCAAAGGTCTTCTGATAAGTTTTGCTGGTTCAGCCCCGGAAAGTGCTTAGGAATATGCATTTGTCAGCCTCTCTAAGAATGGTATCTATGATTTTCAGATGAAATTATATATTTTTGGTCATATCTTTGCTAGTGGCCATGCATCATCCAGCCATCACACATTGACAAGTGTTTACTGTTTTAATGCTACTGTGCTCAGACTTTCTTTTTCAAAAACTGTTTCAGACATCAACAAATCCAAACTAATATCTGAGACCATCCACTGAAATAGAAAGTTAATTAGGTATCATTCTGAATGCCTCAGTACACATGTCATACTGGGAAATCATAGATAGCAAAACCTTAATTAGACAAAACTAATCTCTTCATTTCATGAAAGACACGAGGTAAATTGAATCTTCTGAATGCAACTCAAGTCTATAAATAAGGAAGCCAGGATTTCCTCAAGCTATAGTTAGAAAACAGCCCCCAACATGTATGCTGCTTTTTTCCTTCTTTGATCATGTTTTTCTGATTAGGAAAGACATAGTCATTACTTTAGTTAACTAGCACTAGTTCCATTTTGAAGTCCATTTTGCAGGGAGAAAGAAGAGAGAGGCATAGAGAAAAAGATTCTTAGAACTTTAGAAAGAAACTTAGAAATAAAATTGTCTGTTTTGCAGATGAAGAACAACTATGGGGTTTTTTGTTTGTGGATTTTTTTTTTTTGCAGCAGCAGTAAACATTTTACAGAAATGATATGGTAACTTATGAATTTTTTACATGCAAGCAGGCTAATCTTCACTCATTAGTATCCACAGGATTTAAAGTAATGAGAGGAATATACAGTTTCCTGCAGAGAACATTGCCAGAAAGCTTATTTTATGTAATCAAGATTTGATAAAGCATCTTTTATGTTCAGCAGTGAGAGATCAGTTTTTTCTGGAAGGAACAACCAGGCCTGTATTCTTGACCAAACACCACAGCCCATACTAGTGACAGCAAATAGCAGCCCTGTGTACAGAGGCAGCCAACTGCCATAACCAGGCAGGAAGAGGAACAGGCAAGAATAAATTAATCTTCCAAGCTGGATTTCTGAAACCTCTGGAAAGAAACATTTACATTTCAAATCAAAACATTTCATACTGAGGGGAGCTGTCTACCAAAATGAGAACTTCCACTCCCTGGCAGACAGGCCAGCTGAAATGTTGTTATTTTATGAATGTGCTAAAAGTAGTAGTCTGAATTTATTTCAGTGCCCATGTTAATCAGTTGTCCTTCAGTCGTACATGTCTATAAATAATAACACATTGCTGAACACATTTTAATTCTGAGAGGTTAGTTTTTATGTGGCATAGATGATATGTGTGGAGATATTTTACAAACAGCACATCCTTGCCCCTGTTTAACCAATTCTTGAGGATTAGAAATGTGGAAGAGAAACCTAGCTCAGCTTGGCCTGAAGTACTTCTGAACATTCTGAACTACTTCACCAAAGATGAACAGGATCTTTCTAGGGCCTTTGAGTTCATCAGATAAGACTCTCATCCTAAGACACTCATTATAAACACAATAGGATGGCAAATATCTATGGCCATAGCAAAAGCTGAACTTCAATTCTTGACCCTGCCACAAACATGATGTTTATATTCAGCAGTGAGAGATCAGTTTTTTCTGGAAAACAACCAGGCCTGATTTTTTTTTTTTTTTTTTTTAAGAATTATTCCTTTAGGGGCCTCCCAGTGGCGCAGCAGGTTGAGCACAGTGCTGTGAAGCTGTCTGCAGCCTCTGCAGCACCAGTTTGATTCCCAGCAGGCCAGGGAGATTCCCACATGGCGAAGCAGACCTCTCCTTTCTTGCCCACTGCTCCCCTCAGCAGTTACTTCAGTCCTTCTGCCTGTTCTGCTCCCTGCTCTGTCTCTGGTGAATTTTCTCACCCTCCTACACTTCTGGCCTGTACCCCAGTGCTTGTATAAATAAGTAAATATTAAAAAAAAAAAAAAACAACAACACTTTAAAAAAGAATTGTTCCTTTATTATAAGACTTTTTTATTTTTGTTTATTTTATTTTTGTGCAGAAGAACTAGGATGTAAACCAGAAGTGTGGGTAGGTAGGGGGAGGTGAGAGGATTCGCCAAAGACAGAGTGGGGAGCAGAACAGGATCCACGGAAATACACTGCTAAGGGGAGCAGTGGGCGAAATGGGTGGGGAGAGAGGCTCTTCTGTGCCATGTGGGCTAGCTTCCTCCCCAGGGATCGAACTTAGGCTGCTTTGTCGCTGTAGGGCTAGGGCCGTAATGGTGGTAGTCCTGACACCGAATCTCTAGGCCACCAGGGAGTCCCCCAGACCTGTATTCTTGACCAAACACTATGAACAAGTGTCTGTCTCACTATGGATTTTCTTTCTTTTTTAATTAACTACCATTGTTTTATATCCTTGACTACATAGGAGTTCCTCCCTCAGGTGTGCTCCCACCACGAGCACCCATAGTCCTCCACCCATTATGCTCTTAGTATGGCTTTTCAAAATTCTTTAGGGTTTCTGAAAGATATGCCTGTATGTAAAAGTTTACCTTGGCTTTACCTGTACAAATTAACATTGCCTCCCATCTTTCTCCAAATCTGTCTATCCATCCTTCCTTTTGTTAAAGTTAATTTTCAAATAGTGGTAACCATATTTAAGTGTATAATTCAGTGTTATTAAGTATATTTACAATGTTGTGTAACTGTTACCAGTATTCTTTTCCAGAACTTTTTAATCATTCCAAATAGAAACTCTGCTCTATTGCTTAATGGTAAACAGTAACTCCCCATCCTCCCTTCCCCCTAGCCCCTGATTGACTCTATTCTACTTCCTATCTCTAAGAAGTTGTCTATTCTAGGCACCTCATATAAGTGGAATGAGACGGTATTTGTCCTTTTGTGTTTCACTTAACATAATGCTAGTTTTAAGTGTCAGAATGTCATTCCTTTGTACGGCTGCCTAGAATTCCATTGTATAAATATGCCACATTGCTGATCATCTGTTGATGATCAACATTCATCTGTTGATGAATACTTGGGTTGTTTCCACCTTTTGCTATTGTGAATAGTACTGCGATGAACAATGTACAAGTATCTGTTTTAGACCCTCATTTTAATTCATTTAGGTATATACCTAGGAATGGATCATATGATAATTCTATGTTTAATTTTTTTGTGGAATTCTGAATTGCTTTCTATATCATTTTATATCCCCATCAATAATGCATGAGGGCTTAATTTCTGCACATCTTCACCAAAATGTGTGATTTTCCTTTTTATTTTTATTTTTTTGATACCCATTCTACTGAATATGAAGTGAGATCTTATTGTGGTTTTGATTGACATTTCCCTAGTGACTAATGATGGAAGCATATTTTCATGTGCTTATTGGATATGTCTATATTTTCTTTGGAAAAATGTCTTTCCAAGTCATTTGCCTATTTTTGAGCTAGATCATTTGGGGATTTTTGCTGTTGCTGAGTTGTAATAAATAGTGTGGAGAGAACTCCAGAGAGAGTGGACAGAGTAAGCCTCTGAATGGAGGTGGAGGCAACCATGTAAAGACCTGGAAAAAGTATTCCAAGTAGAAGGAAAAGGCCCTGGACAGGGTGAAGATTTGCATTTTTATGGGACTGAAAGGGGACCATGGGGCTAAGTGAAATGAACCCATGGGAGAAAAGTCAGAGCAGGGTGAGAAGCAGGGCAGATCTGGCAGGCACTAGAGGTCATGGTCCTGTTCTAATTGCAATGTAAATCATCAGAGAGCATTAAGTAAGGGGATCTTACTAGATCAAATTTATACTGGGGGGAGAATTCTCTCTGACTGTGGTGTGGAGGATGAACCCTAAGGGGCAAAAATGGAGCAAACATGGAAATAGCCCCTTAAGAATCATTGCAAGTAGGACAGGGGAGTGATGATGAAGTAGACTTGGATTTTTGTGGGACAAAAGGTGAGAAGTGGTCATATTTTTAATTCATTTTGGAGATAGATCTGACAGACTTGCTAATGAAATGTACAGTGAGGGGAAAAGGAATCAAGGATGACTTCTAGGTTTTTGCCTGTGTGACTGGGTATCATTTCTGAAATAAGGAAAATGGGAAGTGATGGAAGTCAGAGTGCTATGTATCCCCCCTCCCACCATCTTCATTAATTCAATAACTGATAAGCACCAATATCCTGTATGTTGAACATTCTGGTAGACAATGGGCATAGAAAGTATATTTAACCCTGACCTCATGGAGCTTCCTCCTCTGCCAGCTATGCTCCCAAATTAATGCTTATGATAAGAAAATGGACTGAGAGACCAAGGAAAATGGCAAACAAAATCCCTATTTTTGTTTAGCCTCAGAAATTTGGACACAGGATAGTCATTATAACATCTTTAATCCCTTGTCCCAAAGGGATCAAGGAGTCACCTCTGAGAGTAAAGGTAGTAGCAGTAGTAGTGTGGGTGTTTTTGATGACTCAACTCAATAATTATTAGCAAAATTAGGCAAATCACTGAATTCATTTGGAAATATAGAGATAAAACCCCAGTTAATATTTAAAAAGCAACCGCTTGTTGCTCATAGCCTGAAAGGTAATGTCCTAATGAAGTTCTTTTGAATATACCTTAAGTCCAAGTTGCAAAATAAAATATACTATCTTTGAAGTCAGAGACAACTTTGAAGTCAGGGATGACCTGGTTCTGTTTGCCTTGGCAGCACAGGTGATTACTAGGGCTGGGTTCTCACCAGGAGAACCTGTCCAAGGTTGCTGACCATTATAAAAGGTATCTTTTCCGAGGTTGTTTTAGGCAAAATGCTATTGCCAGGGTATAATGCAAGAGCAATGGCTTTTGGAATTCTTCACTGGAAGGCATAACTTCATAAAGCTCGGAGTTGGGGGTCAATTAGCTAACAAGAAATATGATTTTTTAAAAATCACTAAAGTCGCTGTTTCTTATAACCAAGTTAATATACAAAATCTGGTAGGTTTTACAAACTACCAGCCTACTACTATCTTTTCACATCCCTGGGAAATTTCTTTTGTTTACTGTTTTAGGAAAGAGTCACCAAGCTTGCACCACGCCCTCAGTCAGAAGAGGATCTGTCTGCTCTATTTGAAGCATCAATGAAGCTATACTAATTTTCATCTCTTCACTGAAAGAATGACCAAAAGCAATGCAGTTCTGAAAACAGAAGTTGATCTAGCCAGAGTTTTATCTGTTCAACACCACACATAATTTACCTGTTACTAGTTTGAATGTGATATAAATTTATGCTGCAAAAGATCTCTCCTGTTAGTCAAACTACTTCCACAAAACAGACTGGACAAATGTCCATTATGTCAGATCCTATGGCAGACTTCAGGGGTCCATGTTCCTGCCCCAAAACCCACCACTGCACCCTCACTCCATAGATGTGAAGCTATCAAAAATGTCCATAATGTTGATGTACTTATCCTATACCAGTTGACCCCATGTTTAGAAATGTATCCTATAGAAATGCTATCATAAGTATGTAAAGAAATATGGCAGGGATGTTTCTGGTAGCACTTACTCAGTAATAAAAATATTTGAAAGGACTTTAATATTCATTAAAAGTATATAGATAAATAACTCATATTAATAACTTAAATAATGAAATGCTATATCACTATCAATAAGAGATATACTGTTAAGTTGGAGAAAGGTAAGTTGCAAAGCAATTATATATTAGTGTGGTCTGACTTTTAGCTTTTAAATTATATATATATATATAAAAAACAATGATACACATCAAAATATTAGAAGTTATCATTAAAGAAATGGAATTGGAGGTATAGAAATTAAGAGAAAATGTTGATTTTCTACTTTGACTTTTTATCTTACAAACATCTGTATTGGTCGGCTTTAGTACAACAGCATATATTATCTCATTTTATAAAAGGTCAAGAAAAGAAAGAAAAATATCGTATTAGGTCAGATTCATCTTATTTTATAAAAATATTAGCAACTAATATTTAACAAGGAAAAATAAATCCCAAAGAATAAAATATTAGAAACCAATCATCCGATGAATAAATTTTTAATAAAAACACTAACATCCTGATGGTAATTTCCTCTTTGGAAAAAATAGTTCTAGTGCTCAGAATAAATCAGTTTCTAAAGCTAGCAGATGTCACCCTTCCAGTAGGATCATCTGACTTCCCAGCCCACTACTGCAAAATCTTCTACAACTCAATCTTCTACAACTCATTTTTCCTCACAAAGGTTACCCACTGTTTGTCTGCTCAAGTTTTGGTAATCTAGATCTCAGTGCACTTGAGGATTGATTCATGTATTAAGTTAAATTGAAGTTGTAATCAAATAAGTAATGTGTAGATAATAACATCAGGATTTTTAAAAATGGGTGAGAAGTCCATTACTGTGGCATTCAAATTTCCCACTTTATCTGGAAAGGTCCTTATTTCCTTGAGATGTAAAAATAGCACTTGTATATTTATTGGGAGTTTTCTCTGACTATAAATGTAAAATATGTTAAGTACCAAAAGCTGGCAATACAAAGATAAACACAACAGGAAGTATTTGTTCATATCACACCACCTAAAAGACAGTCACTGTTCAAAATTTAGTATATGTTCTCCCAGTAATGGGGGGTGTGTATGTGTGTGTGTGTATTCTTTTTTGCTTAAAAATAGTATCATTAAAGAAATTTTAATTCCTATGTAACATTCAAATTCTTTATATTGAATATTCAAAAGGCAAGCATAAGACAGTACCAACAGAATTTCAGCTATACCTTGCAATCTATACCTATCTAAAATTCCCTCCTGCTTTTCAGAAGGACTATGGATTCTGAGAGCAAAAGCTGTGTAAATGAAGCAGAGGCAGATAAACTCTGCAGATCTGAGGTCCTTCAGAAAACTTCAGTAAAAGCTGTTAATGAATGTCTCAGAATACATTTTGTATAGCAAAAACATATATGTGCCCCTCCCCCACCAGGTAAGTTCTAGAACTCTAGTAATGCGTTCTGCAAGGTGAGATAGTGTCATTAGAGCCCCATTAGGCTAGAAGTCAAAGGTCTTGGATTATGCGCCAGTCCTTCGGTCCAGCTGAGTCATATATTATTCAACCAAGGCCCTCTTCCAGTTTGAAAATTCTATGATTAGATTTTATGTATTTGAGTTTGTGTAATTTAATAAAAAACAATTTGAGATAGAAAAAAAATATTCTCTATCTCTTAAATGTCCATTGCCTTTCTTACAGTAGCCAAATGTCTGAATGTGACTCATTAGGAAGAGTGGTGTTCATTCTGCTGATGACTACTGGAGAAGAAGGATTTTTTTTTTAATTTTATTAGAGGAAAGATTTAAAGTTCAAGCATACAGAAATAGATTTAGGAAGCCTTCATGTTTTTTACCCTGATTATCAATCATTTTGGTCCTTACAATTTGAAACTATGGAGAAGATGTGGTTCTTGACTTACTAGCTTTTAAAGAGTGTGAGATGGGAAATTAGGCTAATATCTGTAAATCAAGCACTGATGTTTCTGAGACAAAAATTAAGTGCATTTTCCAAATCAAATACTATTTTTCAAGCAATTTCCTTTAAAAGATCAAAAAATTCTTAGGAGTCAGATTGATTTACTTCCTAAGGCAAAAAAAAATTGTTTGAAGTAGGTCATGTTTCCATATTTTTTGTCAGGTGCCACAATAAATAACTCCTTTTGCACTGTTATCTCTTCTCCATGGGCAGGGAAAGTTGTGTTGGGCTTGGCATTGTTTTCATAGCTGTGGATACAGTTGTGGGGTTTTTCAAGTGAGCTTTGAAAGAAGTCTGATTTTGTAAAATACAAAAAGTACAATATCAAATAATGTGTGTATGTGTTCATATGTATATCAATAAACACACACGCACATATATACATATTTACACACATACAGAGAGAGAATGTGTGTGCAAAAATTGCTTTTCTGGCCTTTTAACCCTGACAAAGATTAATGGTTGTTTGGATTAGAAACTGTACTCTAATGAGGGACTATTGCCTCCGGGGAGTGTGTATGAGACAGGGGACTGTTCACCTCCAGGTCAACAGCGCACAACCTGCCCTGTCTCTGATGACCAGCAACCCCACGCTGAGACAGCTGCCCAGGTCCACTGGGAGCTGTTGAGGAGGGCAGGCCACTTCCCAGCCATCACCATCACAATGGCCTGCGAGAGACAGTCTCCTGGGACTAGCCACACTTTGAATGGTCAGAAATTGGTTCTTGAAGCCCTAGGTTGAATTACTGGCAGCTGGGAGTGGGAGGGTCCCATTTCTCAAGCTATTATTCCACTGTCTTTCCAACCTCCCCAGTCAGTGCAGCCCCCCCACAAATTTGGATAACGGTGATTTTTGTCCCATGTGAAATCCCTCATGGAGCTATGTGGAGAACAGTTAATTTTAACGGAACTCTGTTCCTTTCATTATGGCTTTAACTACTGGCTTTTAAGTTTGGATGTTTTTAATTGGCTTCCCGATTCATAAATTGCAAACTGATTAAAGTAATCATCAACAAAAAGGAGAAGAAACTACCATCCTGCTATTGCCCAAAGCCAGCCGTTACCATTTGATGTATTTCCTTTCAGTGTTTTCCATTTGAGCTGTGTAGTCTTCTGCACATACCTTTAAGGCATGGTATTTTAAGTATTTTAAGTATTATGTTGTCACATAATCTTAATAACCATTATATTCAGAGGAACAAAATAATTTACTGAACAGGAATTTAATAATTTATCTTTTATCAAGGTTACTTCCAAATTTTTACTACCTATAACATAGAATGAATAAATGAATAATGTGTATGTTGCTGTTTTCATATTATAAATTAATTTGTTAGGTTAGTCCCCGAATTGAATTTTTCATTAGAATATGGACTTTTTCGGCTCTTAATTTCACATTGTCAAATCCTATGTATTTCATTATTGTTTTTAGCATTGCTCCCTTCTTCAGTCTTACTTCTCTTCGAAATATATAGGAGTGCTGAGCAACAAAAAATAAGACAAAGTTCACATGAATGGACCAGGCTATATTGTTTGTGCAGACCTGTCAACTTCAACTGTGGTTTTTTCTTTTATTTCAATATATCTTAAGAATTCACAGGAACATATTAAAATTTTAAAATAAAATTATGAAAGTTACCTTAGTGTTATATTAATGCCTCTTAAGTGAAAGATAGGTACCCAGTCTACTTTCTTTGCCACACATTTTTTTTCTCCTGAGATCTTCTATGGGCCCCTAAGCCTATGGGTCTAATATCATCACATTCAAGGGCCTCATTTGTATTGCCTAAGAAAACAACAAAAGAAAAGACTCAAAGGAGCAACATATAAATGTTATTTTCTATTAAGAATGTTCTAGAATCATCAGAGTCTCTGAAAGAATTGCTTCACTGGGAAGGAGGTCAGTGACACGAGGGGACCACTCCCATCAAGATCCCTTCCTAGGGTCTAAGTTGCTCCTTTAATGCAGGAGACTCTCAAAGTTTTAAAATTAAGCACATTAGTCTCATAACAAGTTTGGTAACGTTTATGGGGACTCATGTGAGCCTTATACAAAGCATTGTGTGTGAGAAAACGATGTAAGTCAAGATATAAATGAAGAGATATCCAAATATTACCAACAGACTGAAGTGACCAAATGAGAAAAACAGGCTAATTTTCCTTCATTTTTTTACATCTCATTTAACCACTATTTACTCAGTACATAGCTCAGTACCTAGATATAGTAAGTTCCTAAAGGGGGAAGGGGATTTGGGGAGTGGAGACTTAGGAAACTTGAAAAAGACACACGGGTGAGAGATAGGTGGGGAGGCTAGCAATGGCAGCCATTATCTTGATTTGTACTTTAATTTTACTCCTTTCATCCCAGACTTGTCTGGTCTCTTTGCCCCTTTCAAATCATTCCCCGCCAAAAGGTGCCTTAGACTTGTGGCAAGAGTTCAGGCCTCAGGGGCCCTGCTTTTGGCCAAACCTCTTTGGCTGGGCATTGGGCATTTACCCATGAGGGCTGGGTAACTGTGTGTTTTATTCAGAACATCCTTTCTTCTCTCTCTATGCACACCAATTCTATTAAAGATCTTCCACTTTGCTTTTGTGCACATGGATGTCCAGACCCCTTCAGCGTGTGCAAGTTAGGGGTTTCCAGGGTGCTCTTTGGTCAAAGCTAACAATTGTTTTAAAGTTATTTATATGTGTCAAACTTTATGTAATGCTTTTGCTAAACACAGCATTAAACCAAGACCTATTGCAGATAAAAGAAAGGTTGTCATTTTAAAACCAAGTCAGGGAAAGCTTCATAAATAATGTGACTCCTGGGCTGCATGTTTAAAGAAAGTTGGGGTTAGATGGGAGGTAAGAAGTCAGGGAGACATCCAGGAAGAATGAGCAACATGAAAGAAAGCACAGATTAAAAATATGTGTGTGCAAAGAGTTTTCAACTCTTCAGTGTTTTTGGAGTGTCAGGTTATGTTGATGCGCCAAGCCTGGTGCCTTGTTGGAATATATCCAGAAACATGCTGGAAAAACATCAGGATGGGCTGGGAGTCAGAGACATTTGTGTGTTGTCAACTGGTCACTTAGACAAGAAGTTAGGTTAAGTAGTAATTGATTAAGTATTCATTATAGGATAGTGAAAGAGATAATTATAAATAAACTAATATTTCATATTTCTCTATATTTAAAAAAAATTTTATTTTGTGGTAACTATAGATTTGTAGGAGAGGTACGAATCTCAACACCCCACTTCCCTGACTTCTTAAACTGGAACCTAGGGGGGCCTCCCCGGTGGCTCAGCGGGTTGAGCGCAGCGCTGTGAGGCTGGCCACAGCCTCTGCAGCATGGGTTCGATTCCCGGCCAGCCAGGGATATTCCCACATGGTGTGGCAGACCTCTCCTGTCGTGCCTGCTGCTCCCCTCAGCAGTGTATTTCAGTTGTCTGCCTGTTCTGCTCCCCGCTCTGTCTCTGGTGAATCCTCTCACCCTCCTGCGCCTCTGGCCTCCACCCCAGCTCTTGTATAAAAATAAATAAATCTTTAAAATAAATAAATAAACAAACAAGCAAACAAACTGGAACCTAGGGGCCAAGCAGAGCCTGGGGAGATTTTAAAAGACAGAGCTGGCTGGCATTTGCGGGGAGTCTCCCACTTCTGCTTCCTATTGGCTTTGTCTGCCCCTCTGCAGGAGGATCCTATTTCTGCTCAGACCCCAAGAGAAGCCCTTCAGCTGGGACCTGTCTGCCGCTTTTTTTTCTGGTTTCAGTGCTTTGGCAAGTAGGATGATCCCACTCTCAAGGGAGGATGGCATCTGCCATCCTGACTTCTTGGTGGATTCAGTTTGGGTGGTACATGATGAACTTTGATTTTCTCCTCCTATCCCAGCCCTTTGCACCCTGCACAGCCTTTTGCTTGTGTCTCCTGCAGAGAGGTTGCCTTGGATTCATTTTCCTGGTAGCTCTGCCCTTGGGCCTAAGCCACTCTGTTTTGGGCCCTGCCTGTTCGGCTGTATGTTTGCCCATGAGGGGATTGTTGATTTCAGATTTTGATTAAGAGTGTCTGTTTTGAAATCCTTCTCCCCCTACTGTTCTCCCTCTCTCTAATTCCCTTTGAACCTTTTCTTTTATGCATACGGATAGGCACAAACCCTTAAAATGGGCAACATGAGTTTTTCCCCTC